CCGGGCCTTGGAGCCCTTGATCTTGGGAGGTCCCTGAGTGTGCTACTGCAGAGGCCCCCAATCTTTTGGGCACCAGGGGCCGGTTCCGTGGAGAGAGGTTTTTCCGCAGATCGGGGGGGGGGGACGTGGTTTTGTGTGCTGCCTGCATCTCGTGGATGAGGCTTTGCTTGTTTGCGTTGCTGGCATGCCATGGACCGGTACCAGACTGGGGGTTGGGGACCCCTGCTCTACTGGGATCCTCTGTTATTAAGATGAGATCACCAGGATCAGCAGCTGTCTTTGCCAACTAAGCCACACACTTGTTTTGTGACTCCTACTCACATTTTCACCAATCTGTTGATCCTACAAAGAAACATAGCTCTCATTTGCATAAGTTGAATGTCTTCAGATGGATTATCTTATTTTGGACTAGTAGAACCTCTGGAGTTACGAGAGCTAATGCTCCCTAAATAGCAAGATTCTTCATTTCAGATCTATATTCCCATGAGGCCAGAATAGTAAATGAGTTCTAAAAATTGAAAGAAGTATGTGGTTCCTGCTTAAAGTAATATATCTGCACTCCCCTACAAAGGAATTTCTTCCAGACAGCAGAGAGCTTCCCCTAGAGCAGTGGTTCTCAACCTTTTTAATGCTGCGACCTCCAACTGGTCGTAAGTTGAGGAGTACTCAACTGGTCGTAAGTCGAGGACTACTCAACTGGTGCAGCACCGTTTGCAGACTGGGACTTTTGGCGGGCTCAGCAGGGCAGAGACAGCCTGGACAATTCCTATTGGCTTTTGAAAGCCAATAGAATTAGACTCTATTCAAGAGAGTCTGTTCTATTGGATTTCAAAAGCCAATAGAATAAAAGGGAGCAGCACAGCTAAGGAAAAGGGGGAAAAAATGGCGGACTGTGTTGTTTGACGACCCCCGTGAAATGGTTGTTTGACCCCAAATGGGGTCCCGACCCACAGGTTGAGAACCACTGCCCTAAAGGATAGAGGAGGCAAAAGAGCCCTTACAGAATAACAGAGCTGGAAGGGACCTTGGAGATCATCTAGTCCAACCCCCTGCTCAGGCAGGAGACCCTATACCATTTGGGACAAATGACTGTCCATTCCTTTTTAGAAGCCTCCCGTGATGGGGCCGCCAGCATAAACCAGTGTTAGCTGGATTTTAAATGCTAGAGCGATTGGCCCCTAGAGATCCAGATTAGAGGTCCATGTACAATAATGAATTGAAACCCTGAGGGACCTGAAGAAGAGATCTGCCTGTGCCAGTTCCAGAGGTTTGGGTCTTTATCTTTAAAAATCTGTGAATCATAAAGGTGGCTGATCACCTCCTTTTAAAAAAAAATCAGCGTCGTGAACATGGACTTCATATGTGTGTCTTGGGCAAATGTAAGATAGCCTTCAGGATCTTGGGGCCTCAGGCAGCAACAGCTGTTACTTGTTCTTTTGAACAGTAGAAGATTGAAGAATAGCTGCCAAATGTTTAGAAGCCTTAATTTGCTGCTTGTAGATGCCATTGAGCCGCTTGCTGCTTGTAGATGCCATTGAGCCGCCAGCAATGCCAACTACTTGCAAGGTTCTTAACGGCACCACCGATATACCTTCCTCTTCGGTAACCGATGACCAGTTTTTCCTGAGTGCAGAATGAGGGCGTGAAGGCTCTGCTTCGGACTGCTTTGCACGGGAGGTGAGGCGGCGGCTGTGCCATCGGTGTAGAGCAGGGGCCTCCAGCCTTGGCAACCTCGAGACTTGTGGACTTCAGCTCCCAGAATTCCTCAGCCAGTCCTCTACACCAGGGGTCCCCAAACATGGCCACTTTATGACTTGTGGACTTCAGCTCCCAGAATTCCCCAGCCAGCCATGAATTGAAGTCCACAAGTCATAAAGTGGTCAAGGTTGGGGACCCCTGGTGTAGAGGACTGGCGGGAGCTCTGCTGTGGTTAAGAACAGGAATGAGGGTAAAAGGCACCCTACCGGGGCAACAGCAGTCTGCGCCGAGCATGAGAAATTGACTCAGCCACCCTCTCCAGACAAGGATATAGAGCAGGGGTTCTCAGCCTTGGGAACTTTAAGACTTGTGGACTTCAACTCCCAGAATTCCTCATCCAGCAAAGCTGGCTGAGGAATTCTGAGAGTTGAAGTCCACAAGTCTTAAAGTTGCCAAGGCTGAGAACACCTGATATAGAGGAAGGTGAAGGCATGTTAGATCTCCCTTCAAAAAGCATGGAGGGTGAAGCATTGAGTCTTACTGGGAAGAAAGTTCTTTTGTGGAGAACAACTTAGAATATTTATGACAATTGGCAAAAGTGAAGGAACTTGTAAACAAACCATCTTTGTAATAGTAAGAGGAAAATATTCTAGCTTCTTGGAAAGTTGTAATCAATATCTCTTCTTTTAGCTCCACATTGGTTCTCTCAAAACCCAACAAATACTGGCCCCAGAAGCTACAATTTCTAAAACCTTCTGTAAGGACCTAAAATTATCCCCAAGGATAAGGAATGCCAAAGATCTCTGCATAAAGGCAGGTTTTAATTAGAATTTAAGGTGTCAGGGTCCCATATGAGTCATCAGATACTGGGCTCAGCTGAAGGACAGAGCGGTGTTGATGACACACTGCAGAATCTTCTAGGTGACTTTGAAAACAGTAAAATTGCTATCTCCCATCCAGATCAGACAATAGGACAAGACTGTGGGAGTCTTGGCCAGGCAGGTTTGCCCTGGACAACTTACCGCACACTAATTTCACAGTCTAAGAGACGCAATCGCTGCTAGTTTGGATATCACTTTTAAAGATGTTTTATCAGTTTTGGAGACACATATAAGCAACCTGTAATTCTGGCACCACATCTGTCCCCGTGTATATATTCCCCTTTGATGAGCTCTTTCTATAGATCCAAGATGGTTGAATCAGAGTTAATGATCATTTGGGCCAGCTGCCGATCCCTGTGATCCTTTATACTTGTAGTGATAAACTGAAGGTGGATTAAGCCATTAGTTGAAGGGGAGACTCGGCACTTGAGGCAACTATAAAGAGTTTGGGTCAAGTCTAGCATAAAACCAACAGCAAGCACTACAACAGGATCACGATATGTCAATATCAAGGAATAATATTCAAGCTTATCATTGCCATTAGTTTTTCTCAGTAGCTGCTGAGGAGGATGGGCAAAGCCAGTGGACACCATGAGATGTTTGGGCAGATGGAGTTGAAGGCCTTCCCTTTGGTGATGGCCCATCAGGTGAACTTGCAGCAGGCAAGCGTTACGCCTTGACTGTACCTGATTGGGGCAGAATGTGCACTTTCAGATGCTTTCTCCCCTCTTTCCTTTAGCTTAATTATTTTGTACTATGGCTGCTGACCCTTTTTATTTTCTACCAAAACCCAGCCCCAAGCTATGGAGTGTTTGCAGCATAATTGGATAAGGCCTGTGGACTGTAAATCTATTGGAGAGCAACCATCCCAGTCAGCAGGAGGGCTCAAGCTGGGAATTAGCCTGGACTCATTATGTAAATACAAGAAGGCAAAGTGTCACACACACACACACACAGCCTCTGAGCCTTATTTAATGGTTCCAAGGGAAAAGCTGCGGGTCTGGGGAGATTCCTGTATTATTGGCAGCGAACAATAAAGTAGCTAGCTTGAACTCTACCCTGAGTGTTGGTCTGGCCAAATCAGGTTCAAGGCCGGGGTCATTGCATTTTATTCTGGGACTGGGATGCCCAGGCGTTCCTTCCTTGCCAGAGATGCAAAGCTATTTGGGCCTTCAGGAAGGAGGAAGTCCCAGCCTCGCAGTGCTCTGAAAAGCTTCCTGGCCTCTTCTCTCCCACTGTTGCCACTTGATCCAGGACCAGCGGAGGGAGGCTGAGCTGGGTGGGCCTTTTGTGACCGTGGAGCTAAGCAGGCCAGCCTTTGGGGGGGGGGGGAATCGCCTTGGCCCCGAAAGAGGGGCTGATTTCTTACTCCTGACAATTGGTCAGCTTCTGCAGCTTCTGGTTCTAAACCCAGAGGCAGAAGTGTAAGTAATAGTCCTAGTTTGCATATTCAGCATGACAAAAAGCTGTTAATTGAACCAGACCTTCCACAAGATGCTGTAATTCTTCCCCATCTGTGATAAAGTGTTTCCATTGCTTTGTGCAGGTTAAAATGGGCTCATTTCGACTCTGACTGCTTCCTCAGATAGTAATAAATAACTATGTGAAGGGAGAGGAGAGAGGATGCTCCGGCATAAACAGTGAAAAATGGATGGATTGGATTTTGTGGAAGGTGGTGGGGAGGAGTAGCTGATGGAAGGCGGCTTTTGGCTTCTGCCATCAAAATCAATTAAGCATCCAATTAACATTCTGCAAGGAGGTCACCCCATTCTGAGATGCAAATGGCCCCTGAATCCCTCAAGGAAACCCTGGGAGGTTCTTTGCAGTACCTTAACACGGGTCCCCAACCCCCTGTTCGTGGACTGGCACCGGTCCACGGCATGCCAGAAACCGGGCTGTGCAAACAAACGAAGCCCCATCCACGGGATTCAGGCAGCACGCAAAACCAGCCCCCCCCTCCCCCAGGTCCGAGGGAAAATGCCTCTCACGGAACTGGTCCCTGGTACTCAAAAAGTTGGGGGCCGCTGCCTTAACAGATTGCACAGAGGCTGCAAATGGCTTTGGCCTAACTGGGTCTGCTTGTGAAGGGAAAGGAGACACCCCTGTGCAAGTGGATCGCCCATCCTATCCCTTCTCGGTGCTCGGTGTGGAAGTGTTTTAATAGTGGGTTCCCTGCTCTGATTTTTTTTGTCTTCTGTTCAGTCGTGTCGAATTCTTGGAGACTGCCTGGACATAGTTCCCATTAAATCAAAAGAGGATCTGTGCACACGTCTGCACCAGCCTCCCCAAGTCCCTGCTCCTGATGTGAAACTTTGCCAGGAGGATTTGTCTCTTTCTTCCCTCAAATTGCAGAGGGCTCTGGTGGCCAAACCACGGCCCGCCTGACTCCCTCCCTCCCTCCCTCCCTCCCCCCCTCTCTAGGTCTCCTTGTACAAGTCGGTGCCAACCCGCCTGCTCTCCCGTGCGTGGGGCCGGCTGAACAACGTGGAGCTGCCCACCTGGCTTCGGAAGCCCGTCCTCAGCCTCTACATCTGGACCTTTGGGGTGAACATGAAGGAGGCGGCCGTGGAGGACCTCCATCACTACCGCAACCTGAGTGAATTTTTCCGACGGAAGCTGAAGCCCCAGGCACGGCCCGTCTGCGACCGGCACAGCGTGGTCAGTTTCCCAGGCAAAGGGCAGCTGCTCTGCTTCCTCCTTTTCCATTTTTGGATAGGGAGGTTGTAGAAAACCCTTTGAAATTTCAGTTAGAATTGTTTTAATGCTGCTTGTTCGGGTAGGTTAATTACATCCCCATTATCATTGCATTTAATGGAAGTAGAGCAAAATACTGTAAGTTTGGGCAACCATTGATATTGTTTAATAGAAGTGGAAGAGAAAATAGCCTCCAGCTTTTCTCCTCCACAGGTCAGCCCTTCGGATGGGAAGATCCTCAGTTTTGGGCAAGTGAAGAACTGTGAAGTGGAGCAAGTCAAAGGCATCACTTACTCTCTTGAGTCCTTCCTGGGTCCCCATGCCAATCACGACAGCTGCCAAAATAATCCAAGTAAGTCTTCCCTTTGAGCTCCAGGATCCTTCTTTCCCGGCAGCTGGCTAGCGGGGCAAAGGGTGGCATTCCTCTCCCTTCCTGGACAGTCTTTGAAGCCTCTTTAGAAGGATGAATTGCACCCAGACGAGGCAGCCAGTCTCCACTCACTCCCTAGAAGCATCAGGAGGAATTGCGGCCCAGAGTTAAGGAACCAGCTGCACTTCGCATCTGCACTGCCTCCCTCCCTTCGGCTCAGCGGAAGAGGGGGGCTCAAGAGAGGCTGTGGGAGGAGGTCTTCTGTGCTCAGGGCTGCAGGGCACCCAGGAGAGGGAGAGCAGCCCTTCCGAGGAGGAGGCCCGGCTTTTATTTGGTTTCTCTTGGTTGCTCGTGTACCCTGCCTGTCCTCCAAGGAGGCAGACTCCGTCCACATCTATGCCACGAGGCAGGCTGGACGGAGAGAAGGTCTCGAGCAGACCTTCAATCACTGCCCTGCCCTGCCCTCACGGTCTGCTCTCTGGCCAAGGATGAGCAGATCTCCAGAGATCTCTTGTCAGAAGAGGTTATGATTTCCAGGGAAGTGTTTTCAGAAGCCACGTTTGCAGTGTTTGGTGCCCCAGTGGCCGTTCAACTCCTAACCCTGACACACAAGGAATAAGTGGGTATTCCGTAACTCAGTCGGATGGCTATATATTTAATATATGCAGTGAAATTCGCAGGGGGAAGGTGCATGCCGGTGTGCCCCCGCTGTTTGTCTTGGGTTCGCTTCTGGATTTTCATCAGTCATGGATCTGGAATGAGAAAGCTGAAGATCGGCATTCCAGCTTTGCTTCTCCCTTTCTCCATGTCCCGAATAAGACCACATGTGGCAGTCGATGCTATGTGGAACTAAAACGTTGCCAAGAAAACGCTAATTCCCATCACCAAGTCTCAAGGGACATTTAGACTTACCTTGTTTTTAAACCTATGGCTGTTGTAGGTGCCCTCCCCACCCAGTTGCCTTCTGGTCTTACCGCTCTGTGTTGGGCTCTCCGTGCAGGCGATGCCTTTAGCTTTGTTTGGAGTAGGTGAGGGAGTGAACGACTTGAGTTGCCGGATCAATAACAAGGCAGCTTTGCGGTTCTTTCCTCAGGAAAACCTTTCCTCTGCTGCTCTTTTCCAGCCTCCTGTTGCGACTCCTTCCAAAAACAGCTGGTCACAAAAGACACCAACGAGCTCGTCCATTGTGTGATTTACCTGGCCCCCGGAGACTACCACTGCTTCCACTCGCCCACCGACTGGAAGGTCTCTCATCGGCGTCACTTCCCAGGTGGGTCTCCTTTCCACAGGTGGGACACCCAGAGGCAGCAGCTCTTCGCGCACTGGCATTTGCTCACAGAACAAGTGAAACCTTCGTCCTTCTCCCAGAACCGCTCAGGAGCATCCCTTCATCACAGTGGCCTGCAAACTGCTTCTGCGTTTATCGCTTATATGGCTGCCCACTCACTCTCAGTGACTCTGGGCAGCTTACAAGCAATAAAAACCCGACATAAAAGAATAAAAGCAACACCCCCCACGCCACCCCGGTGACAACAATAAATCTAATGAGCCGCTTGATGGGCTCCATCCCACTCTGGGCACCCCAGGCCCGATGGCCCATTGCACACACTTCCCTGCTTGATTGAGGCCAACATCCTTGGGGGGAGGGCAGACTCGGTGGAGTCTTGTGAAGCCCCACTTGCAGCAGCAGGTGAGTAGGATCAGGAGACCAAAAGGGAGGGGAAGACCTTAAGCACTTTCCCATCACCTCTGGCCCCCTCAGAAATCCAGAAGAGCACCCGCTTTAGCTCTTGGGAGGAGACCTTTCTTATCCCCCCAGCAGCTCAGACAGAGCAGCGGTCCAGCAGCTGTATGTAACCGTGGGGCAGATCCCTTCCTGGGGAAGGAGTCAAGTCTCCACCTCTGGTTTTTCTCCCTCGGCCTGCCCTGGCAAGCCGCCTCTCCCTCTCTCTTCACTAGCACCTAAACTTACAGTACGTACCACCCCACAGTGCTTTACAGCCCTCTCTGTGCAGTGTACAGAGTCAGCCTCTTGCCCCCAACAATCGGGGTCCTCATTTTACCGACCTTGAAAGGATGAAAGGCTCAAATCAATCTCAAGCCGGTCAGGAACAAACTCCAGTCTGTGGGCAGAGGTAGCCTGCAATACTACCCTTTAACCGCTCCCCACCAGAGCAGTAGGTTCAACGGGTGTTAGGATACTCCTTCTCTGGTAGACATTGTCTTCAAACTTCTGCTGAACTACTTTCCAACACTGCTGGAGACATTAGACGGCCTCAGAGGGGGCCCGAGATGGTCTTCTGGCATCTCCCCTCCCACCACCTCAGTTCTGTTTCCAAAACTACAGCAGAGACTTGCTCTCTACCCAGGTGCCCTGATGTCTGTGAACCCTGGCGTAGCACGTTGGATCAAAGAACTCTTCTGCCATAACGAGCGAGTCGTCCTGTCGGGCTACTGGAAACACGGCTTCTTTTCCCTGACAGCAGTGGGCGCTCAGAACGTGGGATCCATCCGCGTTTACTGCGATCAGGTGAGGAAACCTCAAAGGGAGGCTGGGTTGTTTGAGCAGCCGTCAAGTGGGTGAGCCCCAGCATCTCTGCGTCCTGGCCCCTGCCCAGAGGCACAAGGAGACCAGGCTCCAGAGTAGCTGGAGGGCCACCGGGTGATTGAGTTGGCAAGGGGGCAGCTTAGGTGAACCCCAGAAGCTGTTCCTGCCACTCTGAATACACCCAACGTGGGCTAAGGCTGGCACAGCTTCCACGGGAGTATCAGAGGCCCCTTCTGAGGATCAGGCAGGCCCCACCCCTTAGGTTCCCCCATCCGCCCCGCCCATCTTTTATGCACAGAGCGAGTGTCAGAATCCAATTATACTTCATCTCCAGTTATCAATTATAGAAAACCCCATTTCTGCCCTCTCTGGATTCTGCCATAAAGAAAGAGAGGGGGGTGAACAAAGGGGCTTTATGGCCCTCACTTCCTTTGGTACAACTTCAAAGGGTTTGAATGTGGTTAGCACCAAAAGGCCTTATCATAACAAAGGAGGCTATTTACCTTTCATGTAGTTTATCTGAAGTCTCCCTCCAGCCGGCAGAAAGGAAAAAAGGGGTGGGATTGTGATGCCTGAAACTGTCACTGGAAGAGGCGGGTGATTGGGTGGGGCTACTGGGGAACCCCTTAAAACCTCGAATGGGAGAGCTTGGACCCCAAGTCCTGTCTAGAACGCCTGCAACCTTTTTCTCTTAATAAAGGATGCCTGTTGGAAGAATTATTCCAAGAGTTCTGTCTTCTTAAGATGCAAAGGGGGGTGGGTCCTTACAGCGAGTTCAGGCAGTAGACGAAGAGTGAAAGTGGCCGACTGGGTCTCCCTTACCTGCCCAGTAACCCCTCCTCCCTTCCTCCCTCTCGGCAGAAGCTGCAGACCAACAGCCCTCGCTACAGCAAAGGATCCTACAACGATTTCAGCTTTGTAACCGGCAAGAACGACGAAGGCGTTCCGATGAGGAAAGGAGAACATTTAGGCGAATTTAATTTAGGCTCCACCATTGTTCTGATCTTCGAGGCGCCCAAAGACTTTAACTTCTACTTGAAGCCTGGCCAGAAGATACGCTTTGGGGAGGCTTTGGGGTCCCTCTAAGGTCTCCGTGGTCAGAGGGGAGGGGCTTTCCTGTGGACAGGGACTCCGTTCATACAAGGAAGCCTTCTGAATGGTGGAGTATTGCTCAGCAGGACCTGAGTGCAGAGAACGAGTCCTTAGCCTTAACCTGGGGGTGCCGGGCTAGTCTCCTCGGGAGGGTTGCGGATTGGTCGGGGACTGTGGCCTTCATGGATGTTGACCGGGTGGCTTTTCTTCCCTCTGGGCTCCGGAGTTTCTTCCTCTGGCTCCACGTGCAGTGCAGTGAAGAGGAAGAGGAAAGGTAGAAGGAAGCTCTCTTCTTTAAAGGGACAGCATCCAACTGGCCTCATTAACCCTCAAATTCAAATTATCCACACCAATTTTTCAATCCAATCCTAGCGAAGGGGGAGGGCTAAGCAGAAAAAATGCAGCTTGGAATCCAATTAAGAAACCTGCTAAAAACCTCGTCGTCTCCCTTTAAAGCAGAGGTTTGTGCTCTGTCTGAGCCCCCAACATTGTGTCTGTGTTCAGCACTTCACCTGAGGTGGCTTTGGATCGGGGGAGCCGAGCAGACCTCTTCCTCTAGCTGACTCCAACTTCCGAAACTATCTTGCTGTGCTGGGCCTTCCCTTTTTCTGTGTTGCCCAGGGGATATCAGATGCTGTCTCAAGAACCTGACTTGCAAAAACACACACCAGCCCCACTACAAGGGATTCCCTGTGTGCAGGGAAGTGGCAAGGTGGGCTCTGCCCAGGATTACTTAAAAAACATCATTAGGAACATTGAATAATTCTCATGTCTTCCCCCATGTATTCACTTCAAGTTCTCTGCTGGAGCTGTTCCAAGAATGAGGCCGAGGAAGAATCAAAATTGATCACTATAAATTCTCCAATTTGCCCTAAAATATCTTTTATGGGCTTCAGACTTTGGGGTTATGGCCATAGAAAAAAAGGAGAGCTGTCTCTCCCTTGTTTCCATGGCCAGTAGTTTTCAGAGACAAACTGCTGTAGCTAAATGTAGAGCAGAACTTGATCAGACACGTCCTGTGTGTGACGCTGCATACCTATGATAAGGGCCTTTTTCTGTGGCTGCGAGGAATGAAAAGCAGAAAGTGGTCCTTTGTGATCCCTTCCTTCCTTCCTTCCTTCCTCCCCTTCCTTCCCACAAGGCAGAAGCAAAGTTCTTAACCAGAAAACAGCTCCTCCAACATCATCCTGTGCTCTGCTGCCCTACCGCCCCAGGAAGTCACTAGGAGCCACACGATAGACAGCCGTGCCTTGCTCTATCAGTGGAGAGGAATTGTTGCTTCTCTTTGCTAGCACTGCAGTCCGACTCTGAGCCTTCCGTTTCCCTGTTGCTCTGTTCTGCTGTACAGGAGCCCCTTCGCTTGGTCTCCGTCAGAAGGTGGTTCTGGACCAGGTCCTGTGAAACTCTGGGCTCGGGGGGGGGGTGTCACACAAACCCTAAACAGATGGGAGTGGGTTTCTTGGTGACGCTGTGAATTTCTCCAACATGGAGAATCCTTTTATTTTTCAACTGTATCAGTAGCACAGTATTTTTGTATGTCAAAATGTACAACTTAAGACATTAACTCATGGCAAATGTTTTAAAATAAAAATGAGAACTGACCATGCTTTGACTTTTAAAGTGTTTTAATTTTGGAAAATGCTCTAGATGCGTTCTTAAAAGCAAGTCCCCTCTTTCCTGGGGTGGTTCAGTTTGATGACCCTCTGAGGAATGGGCAGGGCTATCTGTGGTGGGCACAGCTTCTCTGGCCCTGCAGAAGGAAGGACAGAAAGCAAGTCCTTCACTGTGTGAACAGGCAGACAGGAGGTGGAGATGCCTAGGTCTTCAGGGCGGCTTGGATGTCCTGGACGCGGTTCACGTACTTCTGCATCAGCTGCCGCTCTCCTTCCAACGTGCTTAGAAGTGAGCCAATCTGCACCTTCAGCTGCAAAAAACAAACAAAAACACCCAGGAACATGAAGAATCACGTGGGTGAGGGACAGCCTGATTCAGCTACAGAGAGATGGCATGCTGTACCTTTCTGAAACTATTGTTATTCCTAAACATTTTTCTATGAACAACCACCAAGCCTCACATCCCGGCTTCTGCTTACTGTACGCCCTCAATCCCCTGATCTGCCAGATCAATTCTAAGTTTACTTCTCAGAGGGGTTTTGGGAGAAGCAAGAGCAGCTTCATTTACCCCAAGCAGATTTCCAAACAAAATGTGGGTTAGCCATGTAGTGCCTCTGCTAAAAGAAGACAAATATTATTTTGGAGTGTGTTGATGATGGGAGCACAGAAGTCAGGAGAAGTCATTCTTCCTCTCTCTTTTGCCTTAATGGAGACCTGCTTGGAGTATTTCTCCAGTTCTGGGCACCACAGGTGAAAAGAGAGAGAGAGAAACGGGGGCAAGTTCAGAGGGCTACCAAGATGGCGAAGGGCCCACAGTCCAAGCCCTGCACAGTTGGAGAAGTTGAAGAATGTGCCTGTGTTTCATCTACAGAAGAGCAGATAGGACAGCAGTCTTTAAATATCTGGAGATAACACACGGGGGGGGGGGTGGGCTTGTTCTCTTGCCCACGGCCACCTCTGGTAGGACCAGAGCAAGAGTGAAAGTTGCAAGGAAGGGGTTCAGGCTAGACATCAGGAGAAACCTCTGGATTGCATGAGCTGACCAGGAGCCAGATGAAGCAAGCCTGCTCTCCTTGCTGCAAGTCTTGAAACAGGCTGGAGGGTCGTCTGCCTGAGCTTCCAGCAAATCCTTGACAAGAGTGGAGGGCTGGGACTTGTTACGTTCCTTCCAATTTTATGGGTCTGAACCGATGATTCTCAACATTGGTACTTTTAAGACGAGCAAATTTCAACTCTTAAGCTTGCTGGGGAATTCTGGGAGTTGAAGTCCACATATCTTCAAGCTGCCAAAGTTAAGAAACACTGGTCTAAACTTTAAGCTTGTGTCTAACTAGAATCAATCATAATTTCTATTCGCTTGCAAATAAAATGGAAAGATGTATGGAGGGTGCTAAGCAACCTGCGAATTACGATGCAGCTGCCAATTTTCTGAATTCTGAAGGACTGGATTATCAAGTTCAGCAGAGTAATTTCTGCTCGAAAATCCAGACCTTGGGGGATATGATGTATGCACACTTAAGAAAACCAGGATATTCCGTTGTGGTCGGGAAAGGCACAAAGCAAATTTGTGTAGTAACAGCTCCTCCAGTTCCTTTTGTTGACTTGTCTTTAAAAATCTATGAAGGCAAAGGTGAGTTCCCATGCTCAGTGCTACAACTACAGGACAAGAAAGAAACTCAGAGCCTGTCAAAGCCAGAAAGTATCTTGGGGGTGGGGTGGGGTGGGGGGTTGCAAAGTTCATTTCCGCTCTTCTTGAAGAAGCGGAAATGTTGCAGGATTTGCTCTGGCCTGTCCGATGCTGCCCTGTCAGTGACCCCAGAAGCCTCAGTCTAGTTAGTTAGAGTGCAGTTAGAGTGCAGTATTGCAGGCCACTTTAGCTGACTGTGTTCAGCAGGTCAGCGGTTCAAATCTCACCGGCTCAAGGTTGACTCAGCCTTCCATCCTTCCGGGGTAGGTAAAATGAGGACCCAGATTGTTGGGGGCAATGTAAATATATATATATATATATGTAGGTCTTTGGTTGTTCGGGTTTTCTCCCGCGTAAAATTGGAAGTGTCTTGGCGACGTTTCAACGAAGTCCCATTCGTCATCTTCAGGCTGGTGTTTTCAGCTTCGTGCTTCGAGCAGCAATGCTCGAAGCACGAAGCTGAAAACACCAGCCTGAAGATGACGAATGGGACTTCGTTGAAACGTCGCCAAGACACTTCCAATTTTACGCGGGAGAAAACCCGAACAACCAAAGACCTACATACAAACACCTGCGAAAACCTCAGAAAACATATACAACACACACACACACATACATTGCTTACTAGTGTACACTGCTTAGAGAGCGCTTGCACTTAAAGCGGGATATAAGTCTCATAAATAAATAACTAAATAAATACCTGGCCCAGCTTCTCACGGATTTCCTGCACATCGGTGGGTTCCCCGACTCCCCCTCTCAATTCCAGCCACTTGCCAAGAAGCCGTTCCTGTCGCTGGCAAAACCTAAAAGGCAAGTGAAAACTCTTCATTTTGCTTCCAGAGAAGCAGCGGACATGACGGGCAACGGATCTTTGCCCAAAGCTCGCATCAACTGCACTTTTACAGCTGATTGTGATCACTTTATTTTTTTAAACAAAAGTAACAACCGAAAACAAGCCGTTAATCAGAAACAATAAAAGAAATAGGTATAAAAGATGGTGAAACCTCTTCCAAAATAAACCCTGATTATCGAGGTTCCTGGGCCACCATGAACAGAACAGACCATCCTTCTTCAGTCTTGGTTTCCAATCTGCTCTGCCCACACAGCCACTGCCTTCCAAATCCACCTGGAGAACGGCATCCCTCCACCCGCAATTTAGCTTCACAAGGAACTCAGTGACAACTATCCCCATTTCAATGCCGCCCCACAGGAAAACTGAGAGGGAGGAGGGGCCGGCTCCTGGGAGAGCAAGCCCAGAGGATCCTAACCCCTCCCCCCCAGTCAAAGAGCCCCACCTGGACCCCATCTGGCCCCTTCTTCCCCACAGAGCACCGCTGTCCAACAGATGCCCTGGGCACCTGCGAAGGAGTAGGGAGAGGAGAGCAGGCAGCGCACAGCAGGCAGCGCGTCAGACAAGAGCCGGGCTCTGCAGCCTCCACCCAGCCTCCCAGCTCTGCTGAGGACGGTCTGAGCTTAGCTGCATTTATGGAGACGTTTCATTACCAAACTAGGTAACATCATCAGTGCTGGGAAGGAGAAGAAGGTCTTCATGACCATTCTCCACAGCTGAGGAAGTCTTCCGATTCCCTCTTCTGCAAGCCGCAAAGCAGAAACCAACCCCTGAATTGGAACAGAAAAGCATTCTCGGTACACACTTCAGTTCCTGCTGCTGGCTGTAGTAACGCTGCATTTTTTGCCCAATCAGTTGGAGCTCATCCTGTAGATGCTGAACTTCAGCCTCTCCTCCTTTGGTTTCTAAAACAAAAAAGAAGTAACTTGCTTAGCGTTTGGAACATTTTTCCCATCCCACTTTCCTTCTAGAACAGGGGTTCTCAACCGTGGCAACTTTAAGACTTGTGGACTTCAACTCCCAGAATTCCTCAGCCAGCTTTGCTGGCTGAGGAATTCTGGGAGTTGAAGTCCACAAGTCTTAAAGTTGCCAAGGTTGAGAACCCCTGTTCTAGAAATTATCTCCAGAACTTGCCAAAATTTGTGCAGACTGATCTCTTTCCCAGTCTCGTTCAGCAGGTAGAGGAACTGCCAGGACGAAACAGGATTAGATTGTTCCATGTATTTTTTGCTTGAAAGGCTAGACAGCCAACAGCCCCCAAATACACAGATGTTCTTTAGCAAAAGTCAAGTTCCTGCCATGCTTATGGGGGGGGGGAGTCAAGGGCCTATTTTCAAAATACTTCAGAATTTCTGCTTCTTTCTTTCCTAAATAGTCTGGATGGGGTTGAGATTCCCTGACACGTGAAAGTACATTTTTCTAAAAAAGGGGGGATAAAAAGCAGGCTTGGGAAAGGAGCTAACTGTAACATTTGCATTCTGCTGATCCCACATGGACTCTAGTGGTTTACACACAATCCAACAATAAACCCCCCAAATGCAATGGTCTATCCCAGGGGTAAGCAACCTTGGCTCTTTTATGATTCGTGGACTTCAACTCCCAGAATTCCTGAGCCAGCCATGATGAGGGGATTAGTGATTATATTAGTGATTAGAACATCTGGCATGTTTCTTTACCAATAAAATTAATAACACCATTAAAAGGAAACCTTTAGGGCAGGGGTGGGGGACCTTGGCTCTTTTATGACTCGTGGACTTCAACTCCCAGAATTCCTGAGCCAGCCATGCTGGCTCAGGAATTCTGGGAGTTGAAGTCCATGAGTCATAAAAGAGCCAAGGTTGCCTACCCCTGGTCTATCCAATTAAAACAGCCCCCCCCCCTGTGAAAATGTAGTGAAATGAAGCCCCAGATGGTCTCCAGAACAATCTCTCTTGACAACCCACCTCAAAACCAGCAGAGAGGGTTCCGTTCTGGCCCAAGAAACTCCGCAGGATGGGCACTGACACAGACATCATTGCCTTGTTCTTCCTCAGAGTCTCACACGGTCTCAACTCCCTAAGTTGAACTGTTCCCGGAGGTACCCGGGTGCCAAGCCATCTATGGATCTTGGAAGCTTACTGGCAACTAACGCAGCTCCTGCAACACTGGTGTCATGCTCAGTGGTTCTCCTTCATGAATTGGGGATGTGTGTGTACTGACTGCAGCTTCCAAATGGGCCCCACATACAGCATGCTGCAGTAGCCCATCCCTAGAGGTGCTAAGGCCCTGGGTAACTACTGCCAGGTGTTGAGACTAGTGCTGTCCCCTAGCTGTGGCTTCCAGGTGGCTAAGGCAGCGGCCCCCAACCTTTGGGGCACCAGGGACCGGTTCCGTGGAGAGGTTTTTCCGTGGACTGGAGGGGGCCTGGTTTCCTGTGCTGCCTGCATCCTGTGGATGGGACTTTGCTTGTTTGTGTAGCCCGGTTTCTGGCATGCTGTGGCCCAGTTCTGGTCCACGGACCGGGGGTTGGGGAACCCTGCTTTATCTCGATTTATCTCCAAGTCACAGGCCTATTTTCCCTGGGGGAGCACAGTTCCATCCAGAACTACAAGGGGACAAGACCAATTTCAGGACAAGCACTACCTCTGTCTTGCCAGGACTCCCTGAGTTGTTCCCATCCATTCCCACACACCTTCCAGGCACCGGGTCAAGATTTCCAAGCTTTTCTGGCTTAGTGGGCATCACCATCAGTATTTCACTCCAAACGAGCTAATGATTCCACTCAATGTTTTCCTGGACATATTTAAGAGCAGGATGAGAGGGACGACCCACAGAGGAACCACCAGGATGACCTCTTCCACTGGCACCAGCCACTGAAACTGCCTCTTTAAGCACTGACAATTTTCCTGATTTTTCCTTCAGGTAAAAGCCAGGATGGGCACACATCCAGCCCACGGGTTGCCGAGTCCATCCTGCAGACTGCTTCACCCACTTTCTCAGAATCACCAAACCACAAAGAATCCCAAGGAAGCTTCATTTCATCAGGCACCGTCCAGATGCAGGACTGAGCAAGTTTGTGCAATTTTCTATCAGCAAAACATTGTACAAACATCTCAAGAGCCGAGGTGGCGCAGCAGTTAAGAGTGCAGTACTGCAGACCATTTTAGCTGACTGTGTTCAGCAGGTCAGCGGTTCAAATCTCACCGGCTCAAGGTTGACTCAGCCTTCCATCCTTCCAGGGTAGGTAAAATGAGGACCCAGATTGTTGGGGGCAATGTAAAATAAATATATATATACATTGCTTACTGGTGTACACCGCTTAGAGAGTGCTCGCACTTAAAGCGGTATATAAGTCTCATAAATAAATAAATAAATAAATAAATAAATAAATAAATAAATAAGGCAGCTCTCCAGTAGCTCTCGACTTCCACCTCCCAGAAGAGAGCATGTAACGGCTAATCACCAGGTATTCTTGTCAATGCAGTAAGGGTGGGAAAAGGAAGACAGATTCATCGTGGTCTACGCCTTCTTTTTGGTGTATGAACTTTGTGTGGTCAAGAACACGTCTAGCTGGCACCATGATGATCATAAATTGCTAACGCTTCCTGGAATTCTCTCCCAGAGCGTGGAAGTTGAAGTTGCCCAGCGCCATCTGCCAGGGACGCTCCCAACACCAGGGCAGAAGTCCCTTCTGGCATCCTGCCACGCAGCATGTTAGATGGTGCACAAGTGGACGCTCCATTTGGCTCTACGACGCGACCTCCACTAGAGGTACTCGGAGCCTGTCGCATCAGAGAGATGGGCTTGACTGCCATCAAAGTGCCCCTGAGAACCACCTCCCCTTCTCCTCTCTTAGGACCACGGCTAGTGGAAGACCAAAAACCCAGAGAGGAATTTCCAATAAGGTGACATCCCACCTTTGCCCAGTCAATCTTCAGTAGCGCCTCTTCCTTTTGATTAAGCTCAGATCCTATGAATTCAGGCAAGAATCATTCATCAAACTGGAGGAGACCGAGGCTACTCCTGCTATGTAGAGTCTCTTGCAGCTGGCCCTCCTCACAGGTTTGGGAGTGTGGATGCTTCTAGAGCAGTGGTTCTCAACCTTTCTAATGCCGCGACCCCAACCGGTCATAAGTCGAGGACTACTCAACCGGTCGTAAGTCGAGGACTACTCAACTGGTGCAGCACCATTTGCAAAATGGGACTTTGGGCGGGCTCAGCAGGGCAGAGACAGCCTGGACAATTCCTATTGGCTTTTGAAAGCCAATAGAATTAGACTCTATTCAAGAGAGTCTATTCTATTGGCTTTCAAAAGCCAACAGAATAAAAGGGAGTAGCACAGCTAAGGAAAAGGGGAAAAAAATGGCGGACTGCGTTGTTTGGCGACCCCCGTGAAATGGTCGTTCGACCCCAAATGGGGCCCCGACCCACAGGTTGAGAACCACTGTTCTAGGGTGACCTATGAGGCCGGTCACAAGCACCACTCAGCCAGAGGGAGACCACACCCCGGAAGCAAAGGCTACGCCACACTCTTTTGCTCCAACCCAATTCAAAAGTCACTCCAACCCAAGGAGCATCCAGGAAGCAACTGCATCCTAGGTCAGATCAGAAACTCAAATTTGCAGGAAGACTCGAACTCGGCTCTGTTGAGATTAGCTCCCGTGACGGCACCTTGCCAGCCTGACTGGCTTTAGAGCCCCTGCCGGGGAACCAGGGAGGCGTCTGCCCGAGTCGCTTCCAAACTGGGTCTGCCTCTCAGGACTTAAGGAATGTTACCTATCCCTGTCAAGGCCCCTTATTCTCCACACACCCCTTCTATGCAGCAGGCCAGGAAAAAACGTTTCTTCCGAAAGCATCCCAGAATTCTAGCATTACCTGTTTTTCCGCAGAGAGGACTCCTTCTTCTCGTAAAATCTTCGGGTACGAGCAAAGGCCCCCTTGAGACCACGGCTGGCCTCTCCTTGCCAGGGGATGCAGCTGGAGGGCCGGGGGAGGGCTGTGGAAGGGCAAAAGAGACCATCACACCCATGGCTCTGAGCTGGGCTCGCTGGTCCCACCTGAAGCCCCCTGGAGGCCCTCTGTGTCCCTGGGCTGAGCACCTCGGCCATCAGCCTCTGGACCATGGAAGACCACTATCCAGCCCCCGAGCTTGCCCCGGGCAAGAGGCTGGGTGGTGGGGAGACGCAGAGTGGGAGGTGCCGCTTTCCAGATGCTCACCGTCTCGACACTCGCCCCCTTTGCCCCCAGTGTGAAGGAGGAGGGGGGCTGCAGCTCTGGGGCAGCACTGTTGGGGCCGTGCAGCCAAGAACTCCCGGTGGGCAGTAGTCCAGATTTGGGAAAGGAACCAGAGGAGTAACCGCAGCCACTGAAAGGGGACGGTGAAGGGTCGATGCTGGGGAGGGCAGACAAGAGGGGGCCTGCGGCCATTGGCTGAGCAAAACCAGCTGAGCTTCCCAGCCTGTGGGGGAAAGGAGAGGAATGTTTGCCACTTTTTGTACAAATACTCAGTGCTTTTCCTAAACTTTTATCCATATATCCTAATGTTTTTCCTAGGCCTTTTTACCGCAACTGGAAACAAAGCCATCATGCCCAAAACCGCACACACACCCCAGTCTATGCTGACAGCCCTCCACTTCCCTTGGAAATCGGCCAGGGATGCTGGTCCCTGAAAGGGGGGATGCAGCGCAGCTGGTTGTTATCTGCTTGTGGGTTATTATTTAACAGGTTCTTATTTAACCATCATAAAGTGGCTTATCTAAAGAGGAAGTTGGAATTCTGCAACCGGAGGTTGGAACAAATTTGTTTGCATAGTGATCACGGCCGAAGCTCCGTTGGGAGGCTGATCTTGCGATGTCGAGTCAAAGTCACTCTGGCCACCCATCAGTCTGACCGCACCTCATGAGGAAGGCCAGTTGGCAGTTGCAAAAAGGTGCCCCGTTCAAAGTCTGCCACACCAGGTAGACCAGACAGGAAACTAAGCCAGATGAGCTAAGTCTACTCTTTTGTAAGGCTGCCTTAACAGAACTTTGCAAGTCTCCTGGGGTCACCTTTACCTCAGGAGGGAGGGAGGGTCCCTTGCAAGCCTCCTTCTCTGCCCATTGTGCAGGTGTGGGCAACGTCCTCCCTTATCTGACTGTTCAAATGTCTTCACCCCACCTGCCAAGGTCTTTCCCACAGACCATTACAATAGCGTTGCAGTTTTCTCTGAAACATCCATTTTGACTGGGATGCCGGAATGTTTGCCTACAGCTGAACTTTGGACCCAAATCAACATGTGGGCAGAAAAGAGACTAACTCCTGAGGACCAGAAACCTGACCTGACTCTTTCTGTTGTTCTTGCTGTCCACTTACCACTTCTCTGTATGTGGCAGCCCACTTTTCTCAGGAAATGGTACCAGGAAATCGGGTCTACGAGGTTGCAGCCTCACCTGGCGAGCCGCGTACCTGTGGGCAGTATACTATTTTCTTGGTGCACACACACACACACACACACAGAGGCAGCAGCCCCCCAGCAGGACACAGGCAAAGTGGCTTTGCACAAGCTGATGGGTTGTCCAAGCTCTCCTCCTCCATCCCCCAGGCCCTTTATCCAGGACTATTTGGGGAGGGGGGGAGCAAAGAGGCCATCAGGTGGCCAGTAGAAAAGGCAATGCCCAACCCAGGTTCAGGAAAAGACGGTGGAGAGAATCAACTCCCAAGGGCCACCTTGTGGCCAAACAGGCCTTGTGCCTCCTCTGAGCTGCAGCCTTCCCACGGCCAGCCCAATGATTCACGGCAGATCACTCAAGCAGGGCGTCCAGGAGGCCTCAAAATGGGGCATCACTCCCCTCTCAGAGAGAGAGAGTGGATGCTGGAGGAAGGGGTTCTGACAGTCTGGGCACGGGGGGGGGGGCGTGTTCTGTTGCAGGGATCAGCTCTTCTCTCGCTCCTTCTTTGCAAGGAAACCTGCACCCAGTGCAGCACATTGCAGGCCAAACTGGAGCCAACCGCATGATGCAGCTGCAGAAAAAGCAAATCCAGTCCTTGACAGCATCAACCAAAGTACAGGATCTGAACTAAGAGAAGGCACAGCTACTCTCCCGTCTATACTGGCAGGCAGCATCCGGGATCCAGTTCTGGGCAGTGCCATTTAGGAAGGAGCTGGCCAACCGGGAGCTGTGATGAGAAGGGGCTGGGAGGAAAAAATGAGGAGCAGCTGAAGGCCCCGAGGAGCTTCAGCCTGGAATAAAGAAGATGGGGGCGCATCTTCATCCACATGACCGCATCCGCCATGTGGAAGACGGGGCAGAAGTGTTCAGGGTTGGTCCAGATAAGGCAAGGTAGGACAATGGCTTTAAGTTAGAAGGAGGCCGTTTCCACTGCCTCTCTGCGGGAGCTGTTCCTTAACGGATCTGAGGCAGTGGACTCTTTTGCAGGAAATGTGGATGCTCTAAGAGTGGAATTCTACACTGGACAGGGGTTGGATTAGATGGTCTCTGAGATCCCATCCAACTCTTCCATTCTCTGATTTAAAATTCTGACTCACAAATCCGTCAGGATGGAATCTCCAGCAGCCTGGTAGTCACTTGGCACACTGGGAAGATTGGCCTGTCCCCTGAGACCACCAGGAAGGACATGGCCCAGCCTTGGCACCTCAAAAGTCACGTGCTTCTTGGCGGGAGTGCCCGAAAACGCCAGGCTGGATTTCCGGGAAAGAGCCTTCTGCTTCCACATCAGGGCACAACGGTAGACCAAGTGGTGACGCTGACACGCAGCCTGCAAGCAGAGCAGGAGGGGCTGGTCTCGCTGTCACTCCAGTCCCGGACCCCAAATGCCACCCAGCAATGAAAAGCCTGCCCCAAGCAGAAGCCCCCCCTGCCCCTCCAGCATCATCAGACCAGCATCCAAATCAAGTGGCACCATTATGGGGCGAGAGACGCCAGGCTCCTGCTTCACCTGCAACTGATGCTGGGCTTGCCGATGCCCTCGGTGCTGCTTCATGGCGGCCACGTATCTCAGGACGCGGCAGATGCCCTCGCGTAGCAGCTCCGCCTGGTAGCTCTCGGCCGCCAGTGCAAGCCGGCCCTTCTTCCGCAGCTGCTCCTGCAGGAAGCCTCCCCAGGCCCTCAGCACCTGCAGCCGAGACAGAGCGGCATTCCCTGACCCACTTTCTGATGCCCTCTCCCATTGGCAACAAAGGGTCTTTGCTCTGGGGGTTGTTAGGAACAGTAATTACAAGGGCATTCCTCCCGTTTTTGGGGGATTTCATCCTAAGAATGCCTGTTTCACAGGTATAGATGCAGCTGCTGGGCAGGGAGATGCTTTTCTAAGGGGGATAAATCTTTCAGAAATGTCGGATGCGCCCTCAGTCAACTTGACTGTGCCCTGACAGCAGAACTGGAACAATTCTAGAAAGAGTACAGAGAAGAGCAACAAAGATGATTAGGGGACTGGAGGCTAAAACATATAAGGAACGGTTGCTGGAATTGGGTATGTCTAGTTTAACGAAGAGAAGGACAAGGGGGGACATGATAGCAGTATTCCAATATCTCAGGGGCTGCCATAAAGAAGAGGGAATTAAGCTATTTTCCAAAGCACCTGAAGGCAGGACAAGAAGCAACGGGTGGAAACTAATCAAGGAGAGAAGCAACCTAGAACTAAGGAGAAACTTCCTGACAGTGAGAACAATTAATCAGTGGAACAGCCTACCTCCAGAAGCAGTAAATGCTCCAACACTGGAAGTTTTAAAGAAGAGACTGGACGGCCAATTGTCCGAAATGGTGTAGGGTTTCCTGCCTGAGCAGGGGGTTGGACTAGATGACCTCCAAGGTCCCTTCCAACTTTACTACTATTACTATTACTAATGAAGAACTAAGGCAGTTCCTACACTGGACAGAATCTGCTTCTGAAGAACAATTACACCCTACTAGCTTCACACCCCTGTAATTTTTAAGACTGTTTAAGGGAGAAATGCCCTTTTTTCCAACCCTCGTATTTGAGGAAACGCAAGTTAGGACGTTTGAGGCTGAAGAAGTGGCCAGTCTGTGTTGCAAAAGCCCTTCTAGGGAGCCCAGGGCCTTCGTGCGTGCAAGAAGCAGGCAAGCAAAGTGACAGGCTTAAAGGGAGGGGAAAGAGAGTCTAGTTGAGGCTGTTTGGAGAGCTCTTCCTCTGTCTCAGCTCTCCTGCGGGGCAGATCCACTGCTGCATAAACACTTTGCCTTAACTGTGGCCTCCTTTCCTTGTTGGCTGTGGAACTGCTACTCCCCAACACTGGACGGGATCTGACCTTGGTACGTGTTGCTATCGCCTGTTGTTGCTATCGCCTGTTAAAACACTGATGCTCGGATTGTAAAAGGTGCCCAGGTGAGAAGGCAGATAAATATCTGCCTACAACCTCACTGGATGTAGGAAAAGCTCTCAGTGAAGAACATGCTATATTAAATGCTTAAAGTCTTTAAAAACCTAACCGCACATACAACTTGAAAGAAAAACTTTTCAAAATTCGCAAGATGGTAATCAACAAGATGGAAACTGACCAAACAGTCACATCATTTCAATATCCTGATTTTTTTTTTCTTTTACATTTGGAACTGAATAGAATGAACTGGATAGAACTTTTATTTAGTTGCTTTTTGTTTTCTTTTTAAAGGTTTATCTTCTGTTTCCTGTTCCACATTTTTGCCATTTTCTTTCTTTATCTGGATCTCTTCTTTGATGTAGATAGCGTATCATAATCATGCAGCTTTATACAGTGCAGTGTTTCTCAACCTTGACCATTTTAAGGCATGTGGACTTCAACTCCCAGAATTCCACAGCCAGCAATGCTGGCTGCGGAATTCTGGGAGTTGAAGTCCACATGCCTTAAAATGGTCAAGGTTGAGAAACACTGATATAGTGTATGATCAAACCGATATCTAATGTTTTAAGAAACATCAATAGTGAAAAGCTGCATCCAGCTGAACGAGGACTCCTGTGGCTCTCAGGGGGCTGGGAGTGGTGGGGGGCCTGTCTTCCCTCTAAGGGCGAGACGGGCTCAAGACTCCCCCTGCATCGTGAAATGTAGCATTTGGCAAAGCCCAGATGTGGTGGCCTTGGGCACAGCTGCTTGACCCTCAGTCGACGTGCTAGGAGAATGAGAGTTGCTTCTCCATTCTGGTCCCGCTGGACTTTGGGGCCGGTTCTGAGTCAGGAATCTACAGAGGTTCCCAATCATCCAGGTCACAGTTGTCCCCAAGGTGTTGTTGTTTTTTTTTTTTCAAAAGGCATCTGGACTTTTTTTGTTTTTTCCTGAAAACGTTTCGCTTCTCATCTAAGAAGCTTCTTCAGAACTGGAGAAGCTTCTTGAATGAGGAATTAAACGTGTTCAAAGAAAAACACCAAGAAAGTCCAGTTGCCTTTTGAGGAGCCACCCAGGGACGTCTGAAACACCATGCCCAACGGATGCCCCACCTCCCTGACACAGCCTCTCGGAGCCCCAAATGGTGCTGGAAGGAGGACTGGAAGGTGGGCACCGGTGAGCTCCACAGCCAGCAGTCCAAAGCTGAGCCAGCCGGGAGATGGGCACTTGCAGGGCCAAGACTGACCTTCCGCTGGAGAGTCCGGGACCAGTGCCAGAGGGCCTGCACCGTCTGCTGCCGCTCTCGCCGTCTGTCTGCCAGCTGTAGGTGCAGAAAGAGGGTTGAATGGCCACTTGGACCGCCAGCATCCGCAAAAGAAGTCCTCCGGTGGCTGCAAGACCGAAGGGGAAGGTGCTCTCTCTTCTCACCCCAGGAAACCTCCAGTTCTGGCCAGCCTCAGCCTCTTTCTGCCCAGCTTGGAAGGGGCGCCAGGGGCCAAAGTGGGTGCCCGAGCTCACCTGTGCCTTCCAGGACGCAAAGGCAGTTGCGGAAAGTCTCCGGGACAGCAGCTGCTCCCCTTGTCTCCGCAGGAGCTATAGGGAGGGGGAAGCACAATCTGAAGCCCGTTCCCCACCTGGAGGGGGGGGGGTGAGGGCTGCTTCTGCCTGCTGCAGCTGCTTTTCCCAAATGCAGACAGTAACCTCAGCTTCATTCCCTCCCAGCACCCCTAAATGGCTCCACTGCTTCAAGGGGTTCCCCCAGTGGAACCCTAACCCAGTGGAAAGACCAGAAAGGACCTCCCACCTATGCTGCCCCTCCCCCAAAAGGGGGAATCTCCTCCTGGGAGGGGAGCTGGCGGAGGGGCTCACCATGACTCTGATGCGGCTGAGATGATCTTGCTTCCACCTCTCCAGGCACCGGCGGAGCAGCTGCCTCCGGTGGTGCTCGGCTGCCACGCTGAGCCGCCCCCTCTGCTGGGAAGAGCTGGCAGAGGCCTCCCTCCAGCGGAGAAACAGCCTCCGCAGCCTCGCTGCAGGGAGGAAGGATGTCACGGCTGCTGTGACTGCCCTCTGGCCCCTCGACACTCTTTGGCTGGGGAGGCCCATAGACCAGGAGGGTCCAACCTTGGCAATTTTAAGATTGATGGAGTTCAACTCCCAGAATTCCCCAGCCAGCTGGGAACTGAAGTCCACCAGTCTTAAAGTTGTCAAGTTGCTCTAGAAACAGAGTGGCAAGCCTTTGGTGGCTGCTTCCAGGACTCTGCCCTGTGCCCCGCTGGTGTCACCCCACTGCCAACTTAGATATGGGGGAAAGGAAGAACAAGTGGGGGCCGGTGAGCTGGTCCTTCACTCCACAAGCTTCATCCACGCAAAAGCCAAACACAGAGCAGCTTCCGCTCCCTGGGATGGGCTTGCAAAGGATTCCTGGGCCTGAGAATCAAGTGGCTGTTTAGCGAGCTGGGTGGATCCTGCCTAATGCCACCCACCCCACTTGGTTTAATTAGCAAAGAAAGACCCCCGGCTCCTTTCTTTTTCCAAGAGAATACTTTACTGAGAACAAGGCAGTTACAGATGAGAGCGGCTTGGCCCCAAAACGATGCAATGAAAGCACCCTGGCCATCTCCCCCAGGCTATCAGTCAAGGTCCAATTAGAAGTTTCTAAAAGTTAACTTTTAGAAAACAGAACAAGACTATACTCAAATAGATAAGACGTGCAGTTAGAATATTAGATTTTGTTATGAAAAGGGAAAAACGAAGAAGTTGAGATAAGGGAAACTTCGGATACCTAAAGCATGGAAATTATAAATATCAAATGTTACTTTGAATATTGATGGGAAGTTAAAGTTTGGGGAAAAAGCAATAACAGGACATTGATTGTATATAAGGATTGAATGTAAACACAATTAAGATATGTATAAGCTAAAAATTATTGATAAATGTAATAATGATGTTTTTACTTAGTTGATAATAATAAGAACTGTATTAGTCTAATACAGTGGTTCTCAACCTTTGTAATGCCGCGACCCCCCAACCGGTTGTAAGTCGAGGATACTCAACCGGTCGTAAGTCGAGGACTACTCAACTGGTGCAGCACCGTTTGAAGAATGGGACTTTTGGCGGGCTCAGCAGGGCAGAGACAGCCTGGACAATTCCTATTGGCTTTTGAAAGCCAATAGAATTAGACTCTATTCAAGAGAGTAATAATAAAAGAATAAAAGGGAGTCGCACAGCTAAGGAAAAGGGGGGAAAAATGGCGGACTGCGTTGTTTGAAATGATCGTTCGACCCCAAATGGGATCCAGACCCACAGGTTGAGAACCACTGATCTAATATGAGATAGTAGATATTAAGGGAAAAAGAGAGGAAATATATAATGTTGTAACTTGAGATTTGTACTAAAAATTTATGTTATTGAACTATTGATTAACCCAGCCACCACATTGCTTTTTAAATACTTAATTGTAAAATTAGAAAACTAATAAAATATTACTAAAAAAAAAAAAGTTCTCAGATTGTTTTGGAAACGGACCTGCGTTCCCCTCTTTCCCATCTCCACATTTTTTTTGCTGAGCTTGTGCTTGATTGAGGTTATCACAGTCAGGGCTGCTCTGCTTCACACACACCCCCAGCTGCCCCCCCCTTCCAATCTCTCCCTCTCCCATCACTGCCAATGTCAGGCTGGCAAGAGGCAATGCTAAGCAAGCAGAATGACAGCGGTGACAGCCATCATGTGAAGGCAGAGGTTTTACTCCTGGAGGGTCTCCTACTAGGCCAACACAGCAACTGTGTTTTCTTGACCCAGATGTTCCAAAGGTGCTTTTCCAAAAGGCAAATGGACTTTCTTGGGTTTTTTTCTTTGAAAATGTTGCACTTTCCTTCCAAGAAGCTTCTTCAGTACTACTGAAGTTCTATAGCAGTGTTTCTCAACCTTGACCATTTTAAGGCATGTGGACTTCAACTCCCAGAATTCCACAGCCAGCAACGCTGGCTGTGGAATTCTGGGAGTTGAAGTCCACATGCCTTAAAATGGTCAAGGTTGAGAAACACTGTTCTATAGCTTCCTGGATGACAAGCAAAACATTTTCAAGGAATCAAACTAAGGAAGTCCAGTTGTCTCCTGGAAAAGCAGTTTAGGGACAACCATGACTCGGATGATTGAGAATCTCCACAGACCCTTGACCCAGACAGAGCCCCAGATTCCAGCTGGACTGGACTGGAGAAGCCACTCTCAATTCTGCTAAGGCATCGACAGAGGCTCCGGCAGCTCTACCTTCGGCCACCACATCCTGCCCCTCCCCACAGGAGAAAAACTGTGATGGACTTTAAGCTCATTGCTGGAGGGGAAGCGGTCAGGCACTGGCTCCCCTCTACCAGTGTGAGAGAGGATACAGCTACCAAAAAGGGGCCACGGCTGAAAGCCCTCCGAAGAACCCCCCCCTCCTCACCTATCTGCAAGTGCCTCTGGGCATCTTTCACAGCCACAGCCACCTTCTCTCGGCTATCGGCACGCAGCACAGCCGCCTCCCTCCACTGGAGCAACACCTGCACTGAGAAAATGGGGGGGGGCTTGAATGTTTCCAGGATCACTTTGTATCTCCTGGCAAGACCCTCACAAGAGCTGCTCACGGCGTTTCCCTTGCGTTGGACTTCACCCAAACCCAGCCCAAGCGCGGAGGGCCGGAAAGCGCTGCCGGGTCCGCAGCGGGGTTGCTTGGCCTGAGGTTACCTTGCAGAGAAGGACTTGTCTGCAATGACGCCCAGCCAGGCCGGCTGCCTTTGCTTCCCGCCTGAGGTCAGCAGTATTCTCCTTCCAGGAACGCAGCGTCTGACTAAGGACCAGAGAGAAGCAGATGCCTCAAAGCCCCTGGAGGGTTTCCCCACCTGACCTCGGGGGAGACTGGCCCGAGGGCCGTCTTCACAGCGACACAGGGGAGCCCAGCCAGCTGAGGAAGGGGGATCCCCAGCAGCATGAGACTGGGGGATTACCATAGCAGCCCCCGATTATGGTCTCTCTCCTTCTTGGCTACCTGCTGAAGGATGCACTGAATGTTCTTTTGGTATGTCTGGAAAGAGAGGACCCAAATTCTTGTCTTACCCCAAGAAGCATCTTCTTTGCAGGAAAAGGGGCTTGAATGTGTAACTTTTTACTTATCATGGGACAGAGACCCTCTTGCCACTTAAGGCAGTGTTTCCCAAACTTGACAATTTTAAGGCATGAGGACTTCAACTCCCAGAATTCCACAGCCAGCAACGCTGGCTGTGGAATTCTGGGAGTTGAAGTCCACATGCCTTAAAATTGTCAAGTTTGGGAAACACTGCCTTAAGGGCATAGCTGATCATCAAGATAAAAAAAACTTTACTTTTCTTGGTCCAACTAAATGGCATAAGAGTGCACAAACGTTCACGTTCTCCAGAACTTTTAATCAAAACAGTGCAGTGCATTGACAAACCACGTGACTACACCACTGAATGACAGCAGTTCCAGCAGTCCTGGTTACTGTTGTTAAGAAGGACCTGACAGGTTGTTAAGAAGGACCTGACAGGATCACAACTTCCAACTTCCCGCTGGCTTCCTCATTGACTGTTTTATGTGAAGCTGACAGGGAAGATCACACATGGTGAATGTGTGATCATGGGAGGCTGTCAGAACCCTCAATTTTATTAATCATGCATGTTCTCTGGGCTTAGGTTATTTGGGTTCTGCCATTCTCCTATGAGGGGGAGGGGGGAGGCCGGGGGCTTGTAATGCAGGTAGGACGTTTCCTCTATTTGCTTTGAGGTATCCTCCACCAGGTGTGCCATCTGCCTTATCTCAGCGCACAGGGAGGAACTGGAGAAGACCTAACAACTTTATTGGCTGCTTTCTCACAACCTGACACCACCTGTGGATTGGCCTGTTTGAACTGACCGGATGGACAGTTGGGGTAGGATTATTGTTTTGCAGGTTTAACTTACTGATTTGGGCGGGAAGCCCTCAGATCCTGCCTAGCTTTCCTGCTTTCTGTACCTGCCAATAAAAGTTCCTTTTGAACTGATGCCAGTTTCAAGAGTTCTGCTTTCTTGGTAGAGAAACGGAAGTGGGTCCTTATAGATGCTGTGACAAGGCCTGGTCATAACCACCACCCGCTCAGCACCGTTATAAGTTTGAATGGTGGCTGAACAAGTGGCCATTAACTGAGAACCACTTGCAAGCCCACTCCATTGTTTCTTTTTCTCTCTTCCATTTTTTTCTCTTTTAACTAACTGCATCAGTGCTCCTTTTTGTTCTGCCATTTCTATTCTCCCTCATTCCTTTTTTCACTTTGTCTCAACTTCCTAAGCTCCTTCCTTTGGTTGAAGTGATTTCCAAGCCCCTTGGACGCCAGCCCTGCTGTGTCTGCATAGCCTTCCTTATCAGATCAGATCACTATTGTTGTCATTTTTTTCCTGTGGGCACAATGGCACACATTAAAAATGAAATTTAGTTGCTTCCTCTCAAAAGTGTACACATAGATAACCCACATTCAAAACATACTATATACAACATATGTATAAACCTACACCCTTACATATAAGTAACATATAAATATTATTCACTGTCCAATAATATTCCAGCCTCCAAGCCAGGACTTGCAGAGACAGGGACAGGCCCACATGCTCTTCACAATGGGAAGAAAGCCTCCCTCGGTTCAGCTGCAGCCAGCAGATGCTCTTGGGCTGCCAAAGCGCTGCCGGTCCGACCCTGGCGTCCTACCTTCCAAGCCGCCATGACCCTGCCCAGCAAGGCCTGCTGGTAGTGGCCCTCGGCTTGGGCCATCTTCTTCCACTTCTCAGACTTCTGCATCTGGTACTGGAAGGAAAAAGGACCCTGGAGCAGGACTTGCAGGGACAGTCCAGAAACCAGATAACACACACAGACACACACACACACACACAGAGGGCTTTCTGCAAAGTAGCTATGGGGGGGGGGGGAACTGGGTCAGACGTCTTCCCACGGGAGGTGCATAAAGAAACGTCTCTGCCAAAGGGACTTCTGCCACCATCTCTTGCTCTCTTGGGCTCCTCTTTTGAATGCGGAGAGCGAGTTTCCACGAGGAGCCCCCTGCCCCCCCCCCCGGAACCTGGCTCCTTCCACATTCAGGCAGCAAGCAGCCAAGCCTCCTTTCTCTGGGACGGCTGCGTGCTTCTAGCGTGCCAACAGTGTGGGAGGGGAAGAGGGGAAAGTTTTGAATCCGCAGGTGTTCCTTATCCAAGTGAGAGGTGAAGAGTTGTTTTGGCAACTAAAGTTTCTTCTCATAATGAGCCGAGGTGGCGCAGCAGTTAGAGTGCAGTACTGCAGGCCACTTTAGCTGACTGTGTTCAGCAGGTCAGCGGTTCAAATCTCACCGGCTCAAGGTTGACTCAGCCTTCCATCCTTCCGGGGTAGGTAAAATGAGGACCCAGATTGTTGGGGGCAATGTAAATATATATATACATTGCTTACTGGTGTACACCGCTTAGAGAGTGCTTGCACTTAAAGCGGTATATAAGTCTCATAAATAAACAAATAATTACTGGACCTGAACTGTCAGAGAGGGGAGGGAAAGTTTTACTCTTCTGATGATCTGTTTCCCACCCTAGTTTCAGAGTTAGCTTTTCTTCAAACTTGCCGGATTGTTTTATGCCTAATAAAGTGAAACACTGGACTTCATCACGCCTCTAGTGTTTTGCTTGATTGGGCTTTTCAGCCGGAATATGACATCAGGCGCTTGGCATCCAAGGCGAAGGCAGTCAAGCAATGATAGCCTCGGAACAGAACTCCATCAAGAGAAGCAGCCCAGAATTTCCCCAGAGCAAATGGTTTTTTGGGGGGGGGGGTGAAGGTAAGTGGCTGCCGTCAGATGGGGGAGGGTGCAAAGGGGTCCACAAGGCAGGTGGGGCAAGGCATGGGGAGGGGGCGTGGGGGGCACAAGGAGACACAGCAAGGGTGGGGGAGGGTAAATAATGGTGCGCAGAAGTACGAGGGAAGCGTATGGAGAGAGGGCGTCTCTATAAACTGGCTATCAATAAATCAGTTGGATGTGCACATGTAATTATTAAAACACACATTGTTTTAATATTCCTTTCATCTTATCTCCTTTTTTAAAAAGAAGCAGACAATAAAAGAATGAGGTGCTCCCCAGTCTTGAAAAGAACACTGTTCGCCTGAAACTTCCTTCCATCTTTGGAAACCTCCCTGGTGCTACCAAATGCCTCCTGGGAGCTCCTCGGGCATTTCACACGCGCATCGTCAGAGTCGCAGCTTTCGTCTTTTTTAAAAAAGAAAAAAGCCACAAAGGAAGACGGCATCAGCCAGGGCTTTTGTGGCCGTAATAAAGCCACTTAAGGAATTTCAACCATATGGGTAGAATATTTAACAGCAAGGAGAAGTTCCTGATTCCAGCAGTCAGCTTTTTGCTTAATTTTGCCCACCCAAACAACTCCCTTGCTCATGAGTGTTGGTTTCCATGGGATTGGCATCAATGGGTGCTCTCACCTGCCGCCATTTCCTCCACGAACAGCGCAGGAGCTTCTCGGAATGGAAGTGCAAGGCCGCTGCCTCCTTCACCCGCCTGAAAGAAGCAGAGGGCAAGCTGAGCTTTGGTGACAGCAGGTCCCTGACCAAGATACGGGCATGTCACGAGGGAAGAAGCCCAGATTTTAGCCCGGGGATGGGGCTTCTTATGCCCAGCACAAGCTGAGATCCGCTGAACTGTCTGAAATGGGATCCCTCGCTTGAGCAGAGGGTTGGACTGGAAGACCTCCAAGGTCCCTCTAAGACCTCTGCTATTCTGAATGATTCACCCCTGGAAATGCAGCAGATTCCTCCGTCTTCCAGGAGACTCAGCCTGGAAGAGGCCTGGGGCCTCCCACAGGCTGCTCATCCCTACCTTAGGGGAGCATCTTGTCAGAACCTCACCTAGAGCAACAGTGGTGTTGCCCCCACCTCTACTCGTGGCTCACTTTCATTATGGAAGATCAGCCATGCATACAGGAGAAAGCATCACCCCCCCCCGCCCCCCGCCCCCATTCAAGCAGTCCTCTCCTGTTTGGTTGCAAAGATCCAGACCTCAGGGAGCTCCAGGATGGGCCCAGCCTGAGGAACATCCACCAGGAACTCTCTTCCATTAAGTCTTGAGCAACGGTGGGGCCCAATCCACCTCTGAAGCACCAAGAAGCTCGAGGAAAGAGAGTTGGCCATCCCAGCTCTTTGCACAGAGTTCCCTCATTCAAAGCCAAAAGTCCATCCCTTGCAAGAATCTCTCGGGGCTCCAAAGGGGCCCTGCAAACTTTCTCAGAAACTAAAAATGAGCCCCCCCCCCCCATCTGCCCTCTAGGTACAGGGAGGAATCTGGGAGGGAGGGGGGAAGCTTCTTTCTTCCGTATCACCCCCCCCACTAGCCATTTTTTTTATTATTATAAATTTTTACAATTTTACAATAAAAACCCCTTTTCCCAATCCCTCCCAACCCACCTCAAAACTCTCCCTCATTCTTCCCAGAGCTGAATACAGGGTTAACTAGAACTTAAAAGAAAAAACTTTTAAACTCAAATAAACCTCAGACAAATATAATTACATTCAATAAACAAATTGTTAAATACTTTAACTCCATTATATATAAAAAACAAAAAGAGAAAAAGAAGAAAAAAAAAGAAAATAAGAAAATAAGAAAAATAATAAAAAGAAAAGAAAAAAAAACAAAAACAAAACTATTCTACACTTCTAAGTAATATAAATTATTCAAAAGCTAAATAATATTTTCTTATATCATACTTATATTGTATAAAATTTATCCATCTTTTCCACACCAAGAGGTACTTCTCTTGCGATTGATCTTTCAAAAAAGCCGAATTTTTTGCCATTTCAGACAAATAAGAAACTTTAAGAAACCATTCCTGTAAAGTAGGCAAAAACTCCTTCTTCCAATATTGTCCTATTAACAACCTTGCCCCCCGCTAGCCATTTTGTGAGAGCACCCACCACACTGCCCTCCAGCCAAGCCAGTGACCTCCAGTGAGGCTCTCTCAGGGCACTGCTGTCAGATCAGGACCCCCCCAGAGGCGAAGACGGACTCTGGGTTCTTACCCTCTCTTCGTTTCCCAGACATTCTCCCTCCAGAGGTGCAAAGTGGCCCGGAGGAGCCGACGCCTGTGGTGCCCCCTGGCCAAGGAGACACCCTCTCGCTCTTCCAGGCGGGCCAGGGTGGCCGTGTGCCACCGGCCCCAGAACCGGAACAAAAGTCGCCCTTCAGCGTGCATCGGTGCCTGCAAAGAGAGAGGCCGGAGGTTGGGGCTGCGGCTGGGCAGCCCCTTGCTTCAGGAGGCAAAAAGCTGAGGGTGTGTGTGTGTGTGAGGGATCCAAGCAAGCAAGCAAGCAAGCAAGCAAAGAAAGCCTCTGGTGCAGGACTGCGCAGCCGAACTGAGACCAAGCTTAGGACTAGGAAGGATACAATCCAGGTTGCTAAGCCTCCCTTTGAGATCCGGGCCCTGTTTCAATTCCCACAACCTCCACAACCTCCAGACTGAGGAGCCAACGATGGCCTGGGCACACTTACCATCATCTCTGCCGCCCGTCCCTCCTGTTGCTCGCGCTGCCTCAACTGCCACCGCTCAAAGACCCGCCTGGTCCACGTCTCCCTGTGGAAGAGGGCTGCGTGAGGCTCCCGAGAGAGCAGCCTGGCCTCTGTGGGCCTCCACATCCCCCATTCTGAAGTACCGCAGGGCTGACCGCACAAAAGGCAAAGCAGCAGCACGAGGGATTCCAGAGCTGGACCGGCAGAGCTCCGGAAACGCCAGAGCCCCCTCCTCACTTTCTTGGCAGGAGAAAGGCAGCACAGCAGCCGAGGGATGGGGTCCCAGATGGCTAACGAGGGAGAAGGGTAAATAGTGGGGGTTTTTTTTGGGGGGGGGAGGTGCCTTCCAGTTAATTTTTGACTCTGGCAATTGTTCGGATGAATCCCCTGCAGTTTTCTTGGCAAGGTTAATCAGAAATGGTTTGCTATTGTCCTTTTCCCAAGGCTGGAGAAAGTAACTGGCTTACGGTCTCCCAGCCCAACACAGGACTGGAACTCAAGTCTCCCCATTTCTCACCCTGGGCCCTTACCATTACGCCAAACTGCCTGTTCTAACTGCCTGTTTACAAGTTTCAAAATGACCCAAGACAACCTTGAATTGTGGATTGAAGTGAGCAGGATAAACTAATTGGGGGGGAGGAATGAGAGTTCTACATCTAGGAAGAAAAAAATGCAAGACAGAAATCTAGAATGGGGGATCCTGGCTTGGCAGCTACAGAGGCAGACAAGATTTGGAAGTTTTAGTAGACCGCAATAGTCCCACACAGGGACTAATAAGGAAAATGGGATTGAGGTCTAGGTGAACAGAGAGTGCAGGGCATGGGAAGCAACTGTCTCCCTCCCCTCTGACATGCTCAACCCCCCCCCTTGTAATTCTGTGTCCAGTTCTGGCACCACCACCCAAGCAGGAGGTTGACCAACTGCAGTGCGCTCGGAGGACAGCTACCAATGCGGTGAAGGCTCTGGAAACCAAACCTGGCAAAGACTGGATGAAGGGTATATTTAGCGTGCGGCATAGAAGGCTGGGGAGAGTTACGATAGCGCTGTTCAGAGATCCAAGACCAGAACCAACAGATTGAAGCGGGCAGATTCGGGTTAGATAGGATGGTAAAAGAGGTAACAGAGGAATGAGCTGCCTCATGAAATGGTGTATTCCTTTCAGTGAAAGATGTTCAAACCGCAAAACTGTATTGAATCTGTCTCAAAAGCTGTAGTAGATCCTACAGGGACTTTGCAACCTCTGAGGTCCTGTCTAGCTCTTGTCATGCCATGATTCAACGATGGCTCCTCTCAACAGCTTCTCTGACTCAGCATCCCTGATATTCATGACTAAGCTACAAACCTGTCCTGGCTTTGCTCCTGGCGCCTTTCAAGAGAACACAGCGCCAGGATTCGCACCAGGGCCCTCCTCCCGAGAAAGCAGGGGGGCCCTCGCCCCTAACCCGGAGGCTGCTGCCAGCCAGCCCACCTGTGGCAGCCCAGGGCCACCCGGTTCATCTCACTCCACCAGAGCTGGTGATCTCTGAACAGCTTCCAGGCCTGAAAGGCAGCGGACAAGACGACGGCCTGGCGATGCCGGTCAGCTTTGGCATCCTGGAACTGAAGACAAAAAGAGGCTCTTAATGGGAATGTTTGATCATCCAGCACACTCTCCTAGCAGTGTTTCTCAACCTTGACCATTTTAAGGCATGTGAACTTCAACTCCTAGAATTCCACAGCCAGCATTGCTGGCTGTGGAATTCTAGGAGTTGAAGTCCACATGCCTTAAAATGGTCAAGGTTGAGAAACACTGTCCTAGCAGGAATCACCAGCCAACCAAAAATGGGAATCTGTGCATGTAACTCAAGTGGGAGACGCCCCCCCCCATAACATTTTTTTCAGGGCTTAAACTTTGCCCCCCTCCAAGGCTCTTAGCAATTCCTTGCTTTGAAGCAGCTGCCTTAGGAGTCCCTGATCCACTGCTTAGCACAGTGATGGTGAGCCTAAGAAACACGCGTCCCAGGTGACGACACATCGTGTCATTTTGGGAGACGTTGTTAAGCCTCTGGAACCTCTGGAAGCTGCGCAAGAGGGCCCTGCTCTCACGCAATCCAAAAAGCACGTGAGAACGGCACGTGCTTCACCGCTCAGTCTGGAGGCTGGAATGAATGCAAGAGCAGTCCCTGAGATTCCCAGGCTTCATGAAACCCTGAGCTGCCGGGGATAGGCAGTTTGAAAAATACATTTATTTATTTAATAATACATTTAATTTTAAATAATGTATTACTCTTTGTTATGAATTCTCTTTTGTCTAGGAATATGTGTATATCTCTGTGCGTGTGTACGCACGTAACATGCCAGCATGTCAACTTAGGCATTTTCTGAACTTCTGACACGCTGATCCCAAAATGTTCGTCTTCATTGGCTTAGCGCCTTCCAATGTCAGCTGCGGGAGGACTGTCCTCCCACATCCTCCGTGGACGCCACCAGTGGCGCTTGGGAGGGTGGGGCCCCTCCTTGCTGAACCCTCCCAAGCACAAGGAACACAGGACCTGGGGCCTCACGGATCCCCCTCTTCAGCTTCCCCAGGCCTTGCTGCTTGAGGAGGCAGCCCAGAGGCAGAAGCAGAGCACTGCCACCACCCCAGCTGTACACGGATACCCCAGGCCTCCCTCGGAGCAGCTCTTCGGGGCAACCAGAAAACAGGAAGAAGTGGATCCAAGCAGCCTTGCTTCCACTTCCCCTCCCCCAATCTATTTCTCCCCTAGGGCACCTTGTAAAGTCTGAGGATGGAGACCACTTTGCTTTTAGTACTTTTAGTACAAACCCTCTTCGGTGGGCTTTTGAGGGAGAAGGATAGGGCCAAAATAAAGGCAAGGAAGGAAGGAAGGAAGGAAGGAAGGAAGGAAGGAAGGAAGGAAGGAAGGAAGGAAGGAAGGAAGGAAGGAAGGAAGGAAGGAAGGAAGGAAGCAAGCAAGCAGTCAGACGTGGGCCCTGATGTCCCTTGCTCCCAGGTGGTGACTGGCACTCAGGGCTCGTTTCTGCTGGCTCACCTTCTGCCATCTTTCCCCGCGGGCTCGCTGTGTCCAGGTCCGCAGAGACTTCTGCAGCAGCCTCCGGCTGGAAGGCAAAGTGGGAGCTTCAGCCATGAGCCAGCTGGCCCTCGGTAGCCAGTTCTGGACGCTTAGAGCCAGGGAAAGCTTTCCCTGGGCCAAGCTGAATGGCATGGCAAAGCAGAGGACGAATAACTCCCAACTTGCAAAGGTGAAGCTGTGCAAATGTCTTTCGGCATCTCTGTTTTCTGCTGGCACCCCAAAATTTACCATCTGGAGTGGCAGACCAAAGGGGCATCTGCAAGCATTCAGGTTCAGTCTAGGGTTGGCCGGAACTGGGCCCCAAAAAGCCACACCTAGGATTTTCAACAAGCTGGTTTACAGGAAGAACTAGGAACTACTCTAGCCAATCGACTACAGATCCCTGCCGCTTACTCTACCGCCCTGTTGCATGAGGGGGCCTCACCGCAGAGAGAAGATGGGCACAGGTCAGTGCCCTCAAGGGCGAATCTGACACGCCAGGCAGGAGTGACCCCTGCCTGTCCAGTGCTGCCTTCCCGTCTCTGATGCTGTGCGGGACTTTCACAAGGAAATCTATTCCATCTCACTGCAAGCTCCAATAGCAGCAGCATGTAAGCAAAGCTGGGGGGGGGGGAAACCAACCAGCTCCAGCCCCCCCCATTCCATAAGAGGAGCCTTGCTGGCCCTCCAGAGAGGCGGGGGACCCTCCATAAGGACCTGTGGTGAGAAACGGCTGCCAGGGTCAGGGGCCGCTGCTGCTCTTCCTCCTTCTGCTCCAGACGAGACCTCCAGCAAGTCCAGAACCTAGATATGAGCTGGAAGAGAAGAGAAGCAGCAGCAAATAAATAGTGACTCGATTCACAAGATGCAGGAAGGGGGGGGGAGGGGTTCCATAGCAGGCACCTACTTTCTCATCACCAAACAACAGCCGCCTGTGACAGAATTTGTGTCCCAGGGAAGAGCGGACCACATTTACCTCTCATCCAGCTCTACCCTCCATATAATGAACGTTTTCTTTTTCCTCATGACCTCCTGGGTGGTGTCAGGTACCCCAATTCTTGGAAAAGCCCCTTAGTTAGGTGCTATCAAGTTGGGCTCAATCTTATGGCCTTTCTCTAGCGATTAAGGCTCTCTAAGGGCCCTCCGACTGCATCTACCCACCCGCCTTGTCTCCTCTCTGCCCCTTTGCCTGCTTTCCTCCATGTGGCTAAGGATCCTCCTTTTCCTAGTGCAAGCCCCCCAATCTTCCCGGTTTGGTGGCCCAGAAGGAAAGGGAGCAGCAGGGAAATGTGTATGCATGCGGCCCTGTGCGTGCATGCACAAATGGGTGTGCACACACTGGAGGTGCGTGTGCAAGCATGCACAAGCAGGCCATGTGCGCCCATGGCATGCATGCTGGCACCCGCATGCATGCGCAAATGGGCTGACACACCCATGGTGCGTGCTGTTGCCTGCACGCATGCACAAACAGGCCACTGGTGCCCGCGTGATGGTGGCAGCGGTATTAGCATCCACGTGCATGAGCAAATGGGGCTGCTAGCACCCATGTGGCGGTGTTATCGTGAGGGCAGCTCACCAGCTATTCCCGGGGCCCGGTGGCCTATGGACCGTGGACCATAGGTTGGGGCCCCCTGTCCTAGAGCGTGATCTGCTTAGGATACGCGCCCAAGTTGTTTTCACTTTTCCTGCATATCCTCTCTTCAGCTACCTTTGAGCCCACCAAGACAAAACTACCCACCATCTTCATTTGTCATCACCAATAATTATTGTTGAGATTACTCAGGTTTTAAATTTGTACAGAGGCATAAAAATGATCTCTAATAACAACCCTTAACAGATCAGTTGCAATCTGTAATTTGTCCCCCCCCCCTCCTTTCCAAGTTTCTTGCATCGCAGAAAAAAAATTCAACACCACAATTATACCCTTTCCAGGATAAAGGCTGAGGCCAACCTAGATGCAGCAGGGAAACCAGGCAGGCTCACCGTGACTCGGTGCTGCTGACAAGCCAAGTTTCTCCCGACTTGCTTGAGGGAACCCTCCCGGACGTTCCTCCGCCAGACGCGAAACCCACAACTCTGTGGAAAGTGAAAGAACTGACTTCCAGACGTAGGGAAGGTGCATCTCTGGAACAGCCTTCCCTTTGCGTCATGTGTGAAAACACAACTGGTGAGGCCAAAAGAAGCAGGCACGACGCTGCAATGGAGTGCGCATGGGTGTCCTGAGCACAGAGCCTGGGAAATCTTCCCAGTTTACTCGAGCTGCAAGGGCCCAAGACTGCTAGCCGTGGGATAACAGCCTGCGGAGTAGAACCTGCGCTCTTCCAGCCTGGGCCTTTGGCTGCCTGGGCGAGAGCAGGCAAAGCAGCTCTTCCTGCTCAGAAGCCACCAGCAGGATGCCGAAGCCTCGGGCCTTTTCCAGGAGAAGCCACAAAGCTCTTACCAGCAGGTGGTGGTGATGGTGGCTTTGAGCCAGCCGGTAACGCTCTGCTTCTTCAGCACGCAACGCCACATCTAATGGATGGGTTAAGAAATGCAGCAGACCGGACTGACTGCAGTTGTTTATCACTCAAAGGAGGAATCCAACGTTTCAGAAGATTAAATGGTGGGGCTCAAGCATTGTTTCGTCTTATCCTCATCGTCCAAACAGGATGGACGCCTCAGTCACTGTCCGAGTTAGGGACAGTCTTGGGACTCCTAGTGCAGCGGTCCCCAACCTTCCTGGCTCCACGGACTGGTGGCAGCAGCAGTGGCGGCAGCGGGATGGTTTCATGCATGCAACCCAGATGCAAATGAATCTTTGCACACTCGCCTGCCACTTGCCTGGCCTGGTTCCCAATAGGCTTTGGACTGGTATAGTGGTCTGCAGACTGGGGGTTGGGGACCCCTGTTCTAATGTATTTATTACACGGGATTCCAGGCAATTTGCACCAAAAATAAAAGCAGCAGTAAGATCACGCGATTTATCTCAGAAGGCCCCCCGCTCCATCACACCAACAGCCCCAGTGCCTTTCCAGCACCCTGAAAGGCTAACCGGGAAGGTGCCCGGTAGACCTGGGGGAGGGGACTCCTCACACAGACCAGACTCTCCAGTGTGCCTCCTGCAGGTGTGCACTAGCCAAGCCGATTCTATGAAGGCTCTCTGGAGCCAAGCCGCATGGGCTTTGTGCTTGTCTTTGCATACAACTTTCCTTCACGTACATTCCTACTTTATTGTTTGTTTATTAAATGTATTTGCCCTCATCTCACCACAAGGATTAAGGTTAACTCCTAATATAAATTTCCAATTTTTCTAAATGAATCTTGTTTTTATTATCCAACCGAAGGATTGTTTGCTTCTGTAAACCATTAACCCAGACCTCCTTTTCAAAAGTAGCTCACAAACAAATGTGGGGCTTTGTGGGGATCCTGCCCAGAAAGGGGGGGGGTCCCTGTTCCCCGCCCCGGGCCGCCCCCGGCAGCAAGAGAGCCCCGGAGTGGATACAGAGCTTCCACTGAGCAAAAGCCCTTCGCAAAGCTGTGCCAGCCGCCTGCTGGGCATGATGCTCCGACTGCTTCTTGTGCTTCCACACCAGTTGCCAGGCCGAGAAGTGCCAGTGGAGTAGCCGGGCGTGATGGTGCTGCAAAGCCAGCCCTAGGAAGAGAGAAGGACAGGCGGTCGGGGGGAAGGCAGGCACTGGAGATGCTCCGATGCAGGGAGCCCTCGACTTGCTACCACAGTTGAGCCCAAAACATCTCTTGCTAAGTGAGATGGTTGTTAAGTGAGACAGTTAAGCGTATTGTGCCCCGTTTTACAACCTTTCTTGCCACAGTTGTTAAGTGAATCACTACAGTTGTTAAGTTAGTAACAGGGTTGTTAAGTAAATCTGGCTTCCCCATTGACTTTGCTGGTCAGAAGGCCACAAAAGCGGAACGCCTGATTCAAGGACACGGCAGCTATCACAAATAGGAGCCAGTTGCCAAGCGTCCAAATTTTGATCACGTGGCCGGGGAGAGGCTGCAACGGTTGGAAGAGTGAAAAAGGGTCATAAGTCACTATATTCAGTGACGTTGTAACACTGAACGGTCACTAAATGAACTGTTGTAATTTGAGACTCCCTGCACCAATCAGGAGAGGGATGTGTTCATCTATGAATCCTGGAGTGAAAAGCAGCGTTCATATACTGCCAACTGTTCAAAAGGATCAGCTGCCCTAAAACGCTCAACCAACTGTCCACCCGGCCGTGTGTGGGGACGATAAACTTCCACAATCCCTTTCATTGACACCTCCATCCCTGTTCTTGGCCTGGAGAACCTCCTCCATTAGGGTCGCCTGCCCCAGCCCACCAGGCCGTGCCTTGTAACCCTCCCGTCTGGGATGCCCCCCCCCACACACTTGCCATGCCGGAGAAAGGGCTTCTTTTGGGGCACTCACGGCTACTGCGCTGCTTCTCCCTCCGCTGGTCCACGTACTGGAGCCAGGACTTCAAGGCCTTCCGCATCGCCCAGTGCTGCAAGCGCCTCGCTGCCCAGCCGGCTGTTGCCATTTCCCGCTGGAGTTGTACGTAGAGGGCCTTCCATCGCAGCCAGGCCTGACGACAGGAGTAACCGGAGAGGCGGTAAGGTCAAATTGAAGCTGACCAACCAGGCCACTGCGCTCATTCCACAAAACCCCGGGGTCCTAGGGTGTGGGAGCTCAGCCTTTCCTGCTGGGTCCAAAGTCCATGAAGGTTCTGGACTCACGCGAAGTTCCACGCTGTGCGCCCACTGACGGAGGGCCTGGGACTCCATCCCACGGTAAACCTGACTCTGGCACCATCGCTTCTGCCACAACCCCCAGGAGAGCCTGCTTGAAACAGAAGAGCCCCAGCTCAGAACGCAACTTCCGTCCTGGAGAAGAGATTTGCAGATGTCATGGGTGCTGCAAAGTTAGAGCGTCATCTCTTGAGTTCACAAAGCTGGGGGGGGGCTCCATTAGGCCATGAAGCCCCTTTTCTTCCTGCCAAACTCAACTAAACAATTCCCATCACCAAGAAGGAGCTGACTTGTCCCGCTTCCTCCCAACCAAACGGCAGGTGATCCTCGACTTACGACGGTCCGTCGGTTGATCATTCAAAGTTACAACGGCACTGAAAAAAGTGACTTATGACCATTTTTCACATTCAGGACCACTCAGCACCCCCAGGGTCACGTGATCAAAATTTGGATGCTTGGCAACTGGCATGTATTTGTGACAGTTGCAGTGTCCCAGGATCATGGGATCACTTTTTGTGATCCTCTGACAAGCAAAGTCAGTGGGGAAGCCGGATTCCCCTCACAAACCGTGTTACTAACTGAACAACTGCAGTGATTCACTTAACAGCTGCGGCAAGAAAGGTTGTAAAATGGGGCAAAACTTACTTAACTGTCTCACTTAGCAACAGAAAGTTTGGGCTCAGTTGTGGCTGTAAGACCTGAATCCCAACTTCGCCGTCTCTTGGGCCTCTGGAATGTAGCCCCTCCCTCCTGGGAATCCAGACTACAGTCCACCACACCCAGCCCCCCAGCCCTCCCGCGGCCCCCGAGTTCTCACCGCAGGACGCTCTGCTGCCGGAAGTGCAGAGCCTCCCCGAGCATCCGGTGCTTCATCCTGCAGAGCTGGAGGTAGCTCAGCCAACGCCGCCATGTCTGGAGGGTCTTCTGCTTGGTGGCTGCGGAAGATGGTCGGCAAAGTCATTAGGACAAAGAATATTGGTTAGGTTCACGCGTTATGCTAAGCTACGCTTTAACCACAGTTTGTTAATCAAAGTTTGGCTCACCAAACACGTAAGCCAAGACCAAGCAAACTGTATCATGGTTTAGTTAAGTCAAGCCTGCCTTTATTTTGATAAAATGTGATTTTTCGTTCCCTTGCAGAACACGGTCCTAGGAGGAGCAAAGCCCAGCAGGTGAACCGGTGACACAGACGAGGGCAGAATCTCCAGCATCCCAACTGAAGAAACAGTGGATGAAGCGGGCAATAAGCGGGCAAGGAAGCAGATGAGGGCCAGGAGAGGCGGGAGGCTCTCTTCTTGGCACCCAGTGCAGCTGCTGCAGAGGGAGACCCATTTGGGGAGACAGACGCATCAGGGAAGAACGAGGGTCAGCCCAACCCAGATGCACATACCAGGTTTCCTGATCTACAAAGAGTTTATTTATTTATGAGACTTATATACCGCTTTAAGTGCAAGCACTCTCTAAGCAGTGTACACCAGTAAGCAATGTATATATATATATATATTTACATTGCCCCCAACAATCTGGGTCTTCATTTTACCTACCCCGGAAGGATGGAAGGCTGAGTCAACCTTGAGCCGGTGAGATTTGAACCGCTGACCTGCTGAACACAGTCAGCTAAAGTGGCCTGCAGTACTGCACTCTAACTGCTGCACCACCTCGGCTCTTGGTTCCTGGATCATGAGGGTCTTTTGAAGCAACAAGGTGTTTGATTAAGAATCTCAGCCTCCCCATCAAGCAGGGGATGGGAAAAGAGGCACCAGAGAGGCCAGTGGCGATACACAAACACTGTCCCTCTTTTGCAAAGGACTCTGGAGGAAGAGAGACCCTGTGGCCCTTCTTAATACACCATGCTAATGAAGCCAAACTCCTTCTGCTTTCACTGCTCTTTGCATCAGCTGTTTCCATAACAGTTGAACGCCTGAACTATGGTTCTGAAAGGGCAGAAGGAACTCACTGACCTTCGGGGGAGAACTTAGCCATGGCCCAAGATGGCAAAGTGGAAACTGGATCCCAGCTTTGTACCAAATTTCTACACTGCCCATCTCGCCTAAGTCATTCTGGGCAGTTTACAGCAATGTAGTAAAATCACATAAGCACGTGGATAAAAGCACAGATTAAAAAGAGTCAAAATAAAAACCAAAAGTAGAGAGCAACAGTTTCCGGTTGCCCAGTCTTTCCCAGGAGCAGCAGAGATACTTCCAGGAAAGGCGGGGGAAAAGCCCTGCGCCTTCCATCCCATCGCCCCCCCCCCCCCAGCAGAGGAGCAGCAGTTGTGAGTCAGGAGGAGAAAACTCCCCTGGCCCAGAAGCATCTCCAGAGGTTGGGGGAGGTTCTGTGGGTGCAGCCACCAAGCAGGGCCCCTGCTCTGGGAAAGCAGCCCATCGGGAGAGACCTTCCCATCCAATGGCACACCATCCGGAAGGGGATCCCCAGGCCTTTCTGCAGATAGAACGCCAGATTTGCACTCGGCTTGTAACAGGGCAGCTTTCCTTTTTTTAACGAAAGGAATTTTTTAAAAAGCAGCCCAGCAAGAGAAGGAACTGGGTGGGCACAAGCATGAAGGGGCACATGGGGGGGGGCACCTTGAGCTCATCTCCCCCCACGCTCCTTCTGAGAGTTGAGCCCCAGTCCTCGCTCCCTTGCCCTGCCCTGCCCTGCCCTGCCCTGCCCAGCCCAGCCCAGCCCAGCCCAGCCTTTCTCACCATGGGCCGCTGCAATACGGTAGGCGAGCTTCCTCGCTCGTCGCTGGAACAGGTAGGATCTCCAAGCCTGAAAGACTTTGTGGTAAAGAAAATACCTGAGCAATTGAGAAGAGAACGCTGGGTCAGCAGCCGGTTGCATCAGGTTACAGTACAATACAGTATGTGCTGAAGGGATTTCTGCAAATGCTTTCATATCCAACGCTTCTTGGTAAAAAAAAAAAACTATTTTATATAAATCTCTCTCTCTCCTCTCTCTGTCTCTCTCTCTCTCTCTTCAGATACTTTGTAAAAATGCTCAGAGTATTTCTTTTTCTTTCTTGTTTTAAAGAAACTTCATGGGCAACTTTTGGGAGGTTGAGGGCCCCCAAAATTAGCCGTAGGGAGTGGACGACAGGACGACAAAGCTAAGCGGGAGGAAGCCTTCATGGAAGGGGCTGAATTTCCATTTCTCCAGGTGGGCATGAGAAGAGTGATATTTTTCAGTGCTGGAAAAATGAGAATATACCATCAGAGGAAGAAGTAATAAGAAAAATCCTGGACTGTGCTGAGATGGACAAATTAACAAAAGAGATAAAAGAAAAGGAAGACACAGAGTATTATATAATATGGAACAAGTTGTATGTCTGGCTGGAGGCTAGAAATAATAGAGAATAAATATGGAAAGGTCAAAAATGAAAATATGTGTATAATAATGTATAATAATAATAATATGAATTATTCTTAGTAAGAAATAGAACATGAAGGAAGAAAAATGTAAATAAGAAATAACGGGGCTATCAGGACAAATATTCTAAAGAAGAATAAGGGGGAAATGTAAATAATAGATTACCGTTACGCAATTGCTGTTAAAAAAAGGAGGAGTATATATTGTACGTGTGTTACATTTTGCTTTGCTTTGTTTTGTCTTGTTGGTTAAAAATAAAAATTAAAAAAAAAAGAGAAGAGTGATGTTTTTAATAAATTTGGTCTCTGTTACAGTTTAACCAACAGATTCCATACATTTCCTTTTTCGAAAGAACAGGAAACTGGGATTTCCAGGGAAAGAATGGCAAAGTGGCTCCACTAAAAGAGGAACAGATGAGAGTGGTGGAATGAAAAGCTGGGGAGTAGGCAGGCTCGTCGTAATTTCTCCCGTGGCAAGGAGAGGCCTGGAGATCACCCACATGTGCCCCAGACAACTGCTCCCCATGAGGAGACTGTAAGACAGCGGACTCTTGTGGGCTTAGGGCTCTTGCTCACGTGGTCAGTGCCCTCAAAAGGACACAGAGTTTGTTTGCATGCTTCCTTTTTTCATCACTTTTGGGAATTAATTTTTCAGTTATTAGGAATCTTTAGATCAACCAATTTTTCAGCACCTGCTCAGTTTCCTTCAATCCCTAGCAAAAGAAATTTGAAATACAAGGACCAATTTTTTCCTGGAATAAACAGCAAAAATGTGATCAAATTTTGGGTTGAGAAAATTACAAATGGACTAAGGGTCTACATCAGCGGGTCCCAACCTTTTTATATGGCGACCCCCGGTCACATGGACGCGCCGCGCATGCGCGGCGTGCCGCACATGCGCGCCGCCGCCCCCTGAGGGGGAAAAATGGCGGATCGCGTTGTTTGGCGACCCCCGTAAAATGGTCGTTCGACCCCAAATGGGGTCGCTACCCATAGGTTGAGAACCGCTGGTCTACATAAACTGGAAAAGATTTTGGAATTAATCAGAATACTTGCCATGGGAAAATATCTTTGTTTTAATTTTTTTTTAATGATAGGTACTTCGAAGATTGGACACTAGAGGGAGCCAGAAGGAACTAAAACAACTTAAGGAGAGCACTTAACTAATACAGGATGAAACAAAATATTTTAACATTGGAGATTGGACACTAACTATGGTTTAACATTTCAATATATTATTTCATACTAGACAACCCATGATCTATTGGCCATTGTTTCAGAGATATTCCTTACCAGATTCCTCAATAACTTCAACAATGACAAGACTTCTAATGGGCTGCCCTCACTGGAAAAATTGGCATCTATTCAAAGATGCATCTGGCTTGAAAACAGTCTACGGCTGAACTGGGCAGCACAAACATCAGCATAGGAAATGTTTGATGACGTGCTGTATTATGTCATAAACTGCTTGATCATTTTTAACGTCATAAAGTGTTTTATAAAATTTGCCAAATTTCAATTCCATGGGAGTCACTGGTCTCAGATTTTTGACACATTCTGTAAGTTAGCCCATTTGAGGTATCTTGGTTGAAAAATTGTTGCCCAACGATGCAACAATTTGTCTTGTTAAAGGTTATAGGAACAAGAATCTTAGTAGAATATGGATTTTGCTTTATCTTCAGAGATCCAGAAGATAAATGTTAAATAGATGGAAACTAAACACAGATAAACAGCTCTAAGCTGGTCTGCCTGGCTCAAGATAGTTTAGGATCTAAATTATAGCTAGCATGCATCATGGTTTAGTGCAATGTCTGAACAGAACCATTTCTTTTTTTTTTTTAAGCTAGGATGCAGGAAATTCAAAATAAGTTTGGGAAATGAAAGCAATTTTCTAACAGCCTCAAATGGATTCCTGGCCCAAAGAATAGGGTGGCATCAGAACGCCTCTTGCACAGACCTGTAATGGCAGTCAGCTCTGACAGTAAACTTCCATTCTCTGCAAAGAACCCACCATTCCTCCTTCCACTCTCCAAAGGTTTTCTGCAGCGTTTTCCGAACAAAATAGGCCCTACACAGAGATGACAATGAAAACACACCAAACACCAGTATAGTGTGTGCTCCGGGGCATCCAAAGCACATCTGGAGCTAATCAGACATTTGAGAGAACTGCCTGCATCCTCTCCTGGACCCTCCAATCAGCCCATTCGCCCTATGGAAGGCTGGGGGGGGGGGGAGGCAAATTCAGCTAAGCCAGGAAGCCCTCTGGTCCTGGCAAAGCCCTCCGCATCCAGATCTCCAGCCCTCTGCTCAACGCAAACACAGTATCTAACGTATGTCCACCTACAAGAGCAGAAGTGGTAGAAATAGAGAAATGCATTTTAGGAAAATGTGGCCCTGCGGGCTGGCTTACTGCTGGGGGGAGGGAGCAGAGAAGCAGCTTTTCTTTCTCAGCACCACAGCTGAGACCAATGGATGGGACCCTCTTCCACAGACCGGCCTGGGTCTCTTGTGCTAAAGAGGGGAGGGGCTCCTTTCTGGACAACACAAAGCAGCCAAGAAACACCTGGCTGGAAGTCACAACCCAGGACCAGGGGCCCTCCACCAATCTGGGGGGGGGCCTAAAAAGAAGCATCTGGAGTACAAAAAAATTATGAGATTCTTTCTTTTCATTCTTTCAAACGGATGGATGGTTTGGAAAAAAGATCCCTAGAGGGATGCAGGACTCTGGCGGTCTCTCCTTCAGCAGAAAAGCTCTCCCAAAACTGGACCAAATTTGATGGGGGAAAAGCCGGCAGAAGAAATCTGGAAACAGTCTGGATGGGGCCAGGAAACTGAAGGGCAAAAAAAGTCCAGGAAGCCCCCACACCTGGTCATCGGGGGGGGGGGGGACAGTTGGGCAGCATCTCAGAGTGTCAGCAGCCACTGAATTCTAAGCCCCCCCCCCCGCTTCCTTCTCAGTTACATGATCCAGACCAGAGCGCTTTCTCAGCAGCTGGAAAGATTTCCAGGCTGTCCCTAAAGCAGTGTTTCTCAACCTTGACCATTTTAAGGCATGTGGACTTCAACTCCCAGAATTCCACAGCCAGCAATGCTGGCTGTGGAATTCTGGGAGTTGAAGTCCACATGCCTTAAAATGGTCAAGGTTGAGAAACACTGCCCTTAAAGGCACATTCTGCCCCTAAGGCCACATTTTCCTAAAATGCATTTCTCTATTTCTACTACTACTGCTCCTGTGGATGGACATACGTTAGATATTGTGTTTGCGTTGGAGCAGGGGGCTGGAACATCAGAAGAAAAAGAAACTTCAACCGAGGCCTTCAGGACTAGACACTTGTGCCCCGTTGAGTCCTCCTTTCAGAGAGTCCTGGTGGCGCAGTGGTTAGAATGCAGCACTGCAGGCTTAATTCTGCTGACTGCCGGCTGCCAGCAGTCGGCAGTTCGAGTCTCACTGGCTCAAGGTTGACTCAGCCTTCCATGCTCCTGAGGTCGGTAAAATGAGGAGCCAGATTGTTAGGGGGCAACAGGCTGACTCTGTAAACCGCTTAGAGCAGTGGTTCTCAACCTGTGGGTCAGGACCCCATTTGGGGTCGAACGACCATTTCACGGGGGTCGCCAAACAACGCAGTCCGCCATTTTTTTCCCCCTTTCCTTAGCTGTGCTACTCCCTTTTATTCTATTGGCTTTTGAAAGCCAATAGAATAGACTCTCTTGAATAGAGTCTAATTCTATTGGCCTTCAAAAGCCAATAGGAATTGTCCAGGCTGTCTCTGCCCTGCTGAGCCCGCCAAAAGTCCCCTTCTGCAAACGGTGCTGCACCAGTTGAGTAGTCCTCGACCTATGACCGGTTGAGTAGTCCTCGACTTACAACCGGTTGGGGGTCGCGGCATTAAAAAGGTTGAGAGCCACTGGCTTAAAGAGAGCTTTAAAGCACTGTGAAGCGGAATCTAAGTCTAAGGGCTATTTCTTCTGCTCTATTCCTTACCGGATTCCTCAAAGCCTTCAACAGTGACCGGACTTCTAACGTCCTGCCTTTACTAGGAATGTTGGGAGACCTTCAGGGATGGATCTGTACTGAAAACAGCCAGCCTATGGCTGAACTGGACAGCACAAACATCAGCACAGGAAATGTTTGATGTTGTATTATGTCACAAACTGCTTTATGATGTTTATGTCATAAATGTTTTTATGACTGCCAAACTTCTATTCATGGGTCATGGGTCAGGAATTTTGGACACATTTTGTAAGTTAGCCTAGATCAAAAGTGGTTCCCTCACGATGCCATTTTGTCCAGTTAAAGGTTATGGGAATGAGAGTTTTAGTAGCATATAATCACTCCTGACCATTATTTTTTGTATGCAAACATCTTGGAGCCAAAAGCTTACCTGGCCTTGGACGGCAGGACTCTTCCAAATGTCCTCTTCTTCCACAGATAAAAAAATTTCCTTGCCAGGTGCCTAGGAAACAAAGGGAGACAGCAACACTTCTGGACAGGCTTTTCTTCTCTAAAAACCTTTGCCCCAATCCTCCCTAGATAAACTCTGTCAGCTCTCCATATCAAGCCTATTTTTTAAGATATTCCATTTTCTCTAACAGAGTCATGGGAGCTACAAAGAAGAGCTGAAGTGGGGGTGGGAAATGGAGTTTCCATGAAAGCTGGCTGCTTATTCTTTAGCTGTTCAAAACATTCTGAGTTTGGCATTCCATATCCAGATGCTCAAGAATGCTAAACAATTCTGTCAAATCACAGAAGCCAATAGCCATTTTAAAAAAGTGCCATCTATTTACAGAAATAGATTAAATGGAATCAGACCCCCCAGGCCCTTAGATGATAAACCTGCCTGAGATGGCCATAGAAGCTCTCTTCTGTGGTGGCTTTAAGCATCCTTTTGAGAAGATCAGCAAGAGGAAGCAGTTTTATTTGACTATAAAACTCCTTTTGCTTCTAGAGGTGCAGGATAACATAACTAATACCTGATTCACACCCTGCACTGACTAATTTGCTTAGCATCTTATATGAAGCCACTCAATGTGATTTGTAATTGAAATGGCTTAATTTAAACTGCACCTGATTACACAAAACATGGTTGAACATGCTGGCTTTGAACTATAACATATACAACTAACTATAGTTAAACCACTTTCAGTTGATTGCAGTAAATGGATCCCACCAGGGTGCTTTAGAATAGAATAATAGAATAGAATAGAGCTGGAAGAGACCTTGGAGGTCTTCTAGTCCAGCCCCCTGCTCAAGCAGGGGAACCTATACCAGTGTTTCTCAACCTCAGCAATTTTAAGATGTGTGGACTTCAACTCCCAGGATTCTCCAGCCAGCATGCTGGCTGAGGAATTCTGGGACTTGAGGTCCACAAATCATAAAGTTGTTGAGGTTGAGAAACACTGACCTATACCATCTCAGCCTGTCTAGCCTCTTCTTGAAAATCTCCAGTGATGGAGCGCCCACCATTTCTGGAAATAAACTGTTCCACTGGTTGATTGTCCTCACTGTCAGGAAGTCTGGCTTGGCAGCAGCTTGTACAAAAAAATGCTTAAAGTTTTTTTTAATTTTCTTTTGAAACCCTCAAACGCAAAATAGCATTCATGTCTGTTAAAACAATTTGTGACACTTACTAAGAAATGCTTTCATAATGAAGAAGTTGGTTTAGATCAGGGGTGTTTAGATCTTGTTAACTTTAAGACTTATGGACTTCAACTCCCATGGCTGGCTGGGGAATTCTGGGAGTTGAAGTCCACAAGACTTAAAGTTACTAAGGTTGCACACCCCTGGTTTAGATACAAAAAGATCCTTTCTAAGTCATACTTTCTCTGAACTTCTGCTATTGGGATGTACCCTTCTATGTATTCCTGTTACTGTGACTTATGCTTGAAGCATAAATGACTGAAAGATGCTAACCAGGTGGACAAAGCAGGAGACACGTTTCAAAAGTCATCCTTCAAGCCCTAATTCTTGCATACACATGCCATTTCTAATAGGTCATTCAGGGCAGCAACCCAAATTTCATTCTTACCTAATACGAAGTTCTTTCAACCTCCCACCTCGGTTCCAGGTATACGTCACACGATATAAGATCCGACAACTCCCACTTTGCCCCGAATTTCTGTTTGGATGAGAAGGTATTGGCTGATGGCCCACACATTCTTTTTGTGGTTTCTGTGCCTTGTGAAACTTTGAACTTTAAAACAAAAACCATAATTGTTATCATTAGAAATATAGTTTAATACTATTTTATACAGATACAGAACAATAATTTCAGAAATGAGTCACATTATCAGAGATCCCACACCCAAAGGCAGGAACAATGGATGGAAACTAATCAAGGAGAGAAGCAACCTACAACTAAGGAGAAATTTCCTGACAGAATAATCAGTGGAACGACTTGCCTCCAGAAGTTGTGAATGTTCCAACACTGGAAGTTTTAAAGAGATTGGACAACCTTTTGTCTGAAATGGTATAGGGTTTCCTGCCTGAGCAGGGGGTTGGACTAGATGACCTCCAAAGTCCCTTTCAACTCTATTGTCATTTCTTCTCAGCACCTTTTCTGCTACAATAGCTCAATTTTCCTGTTTCTAATGTTGACAGAATTTGCAGATAATCAGGCTTCTTTAAACCAACCTGCCTGAAATTCAGGCTCCACATAATTTAATGCTAAGATAGACATAACAGCTATTCCTCAACTTATGACTGCAATAGAGCCTGTCCATCATGGTCACATTTATGACAATCATTAAAACAAGTCAATCAAGTGACTGGTCTGTTTTATGACCTGTTTTGCTAAGGTCATTAGCAAATGCTATGGTCATTAAACAAACCTGTTTTACTATGGGCGTGGTTTTGCCAAACACTAGAAGTGCCAAGTTTTGGGAAAACCATCATAAAATATGGTCACGTGACCAGGGGATACTGCAAATGGATTAAAGGAAGCCTTATTGCCCAGTACCTGAAGTTTGGTCACATGACCATGGGGAGGATCCAAAATTCGAATCTGGGTTGTAATTAGCCCCAAAGTAGGTCTGTCATAAATGATCAGTTGTAAGTCAAGGACTACCTTAGAAGTAATGGGTCTCTTGATGTTAAAAAGGATTTGTACTCCAATGCAGACTGAAAGCAACTGCTGGGTTCCCTAAACTAGTCAAACCAAATCCAAACAAACCACACTATAGCTTAGTAAAATATGCAAACCTAGAGAATATTTCTAAGTTTGTAAAGTTTCTATAGTGGGCCACTACGGCCCCCTAATGACCTGGGGATTTCAACTCCCAGAATTCCTGAGCCAGCAAGAGAGTGGAACCAAAGGCTCAACTTAGTCAATACAAAAGCAATTATTACACAAATGTAACACAAGACATTTTGTACAATTCTGCAAAAATGCATTCAGATAGTGGAGCGGGAGGGAGTTTGGCAGACAAAACAGGAGGAGAAGCCAAATGTAAAAGCTACCAGTCCCTCAACATTTTCTTCCAGTGAAATCACTACAGGTCGTCCTCACTTACCAACTGCAATTTGGTCACTAAGCCATGTGGTCGTCAAGCGAAACACCTGTGACTGCACCCTACTAATGATTTCAGTTGCATTCCAATCATTAAGGACACCATCCTCTGTTTGCGACTTGTGACGTCCTGCCGGCTTCCTCTCCACTGACTGATCGGGGGAAGCCGCTGCCAAGTGGGGATCATGAGGCCAGGGGTGGGCAGTTCAACCACCGGCTGCAAATCTTTGTTTTCCTCGCAGGGGTCATTTTGAGCGGCCGGTAAGCAAGAACTGCCTGCACGGCTAAATCTCCATGCAATGCCTGGACAGAAGCCCGGCGTCGCTTTTCCCCCAGCCCGGCTGCTCTTTCCCACGAGCCAGTTTTTCTTTGCCATTCAGCCGTTTTCAGACCCCTTAAGAATGAATACCCAGCCGCGGATTCCCCTCCACAAGCAGCCATTCCTCTCCCCTCGTCCCCGCCACCCAGGCGAGCGCAGCCGGCCCTTCCTTCTCACCTGCCGCGGCCCTTCCTCTCCATCGGACGCCGTTCCCGTCCCGGGGGAGCCCCGGGTTTCTAGAGGGTCGCAGGGAAAAAGAGGAGAGCCGTTAGTCCCGAGTCCGCACGTCCAAACGACCCTTCCGCGCCCGCCCTCGCCGGCTTGGCGCGGCGAGAGTTCTCTGGGCGTACGCAGAGTGCGCCCTGGAGGGTCGCCTGATTCGCCCCCGGCAAGACGCCCGAGGGGCCACGCCGGGCAAGACCCTGGCGCCCCTTCAACCCGAAAAAGCCCGAGGTGGCCCACAAACCCCCGTCGGGCGAGCGCCTGCAGCCGCCCCGGGGGACGCGCTGGGCTGCGGGGAAGGAGCGGGCTCTGACCCGCGGGGAGTCTTCGCGCCGGAGGAGCGCGGTCCCAACGCGGCCGCCGTCCGTTCGCGTGAGGCTCCGCCTTTTCGGATTGTCCTCAGCAGGCTGCCTTCAAGTTCGCCTGAAGGACCCTTTCCGCGCCCCCTCGCCACGACAGTCACCGGACGACTGCCACGTACATCTCCTTGCCGACGCAGCTGCCAAACACTGCTTCTCAAGGTCGCGCTCCGCGTTTTGAGGCGACAATCGCCGGAAAGCCAAGTTTTTCCGTCAGGCGCGCGCGGGGGCCACCTCTAGCGCAGGCTGTCGGAAGAAGGGCGCCGTTTGCGCGCGCGCGCGCGCGGCGGGAGGCGGGCAGGGACAGGAAGGGGCGCGTGCCTGGCGCATGCGCCGTGCCTATAAAGGGGGAGGGGCGGGTAACGGAGGCCCCGGTTACGGCGGCCGAGGAGACGCTCAGCGGGAGCCGCGCACGGACAGACGGACGGAGCGGCGGGTCGAGTCCAGCGCGGCCCGGTAGGGGCGGACGGCGGGGCGTGCGCGGCGGCGGTGTCGGCGACAGCAGCAGCAGCAGCAGCGACGGCCGCGGGCCCTGGGGCTGAGGGGGAGAAGACCGGCGAACGGAGCCGGCCTCCCCGGAGCGCGTGAAGCGAGCCCGGCGGCAGCGGGGGCGCTTGGCGGCCGGGCCCAGGTGAGGCACCCGCTGAGTCACCTGCCGGGGCGGCGCTTCGTCTTCCGGGCGGCCTAGGCCTCGCCTCCCTCCTTCCCCGCTCGACAGCGCCGGAAATCCCCTTCCGTCGTGCCGGCCTTGGCCCCGCAGCCTCGCCTCGCCTGTCCCGCGCGGTTCTCCGGCGCGCGGCGGTAACTTCACAACGCCCTTGCCAGGTAGGCCGGCCGCCGCCGCAACCGCGGCGAGTCGAGCATTGCCCGCGGCTCCCTGTCAGGCCGGGCGCCTCTTGCGGGGGGGGGGTCGGGGTCTGCCCGCGTCCCCCGGAGAAGGAGCCGCTTCCTTCGGGCCCCTCCCCGGGTCGGTCCCTGCCGAGGCGCCGCTTCCCCCCCTCCCCGCAGGAGCGCCGGCCTCGGCGCTGCCGGGCGTCCCGGGCAAGTTCCGCCTTTGGCGCTCCCGGGGCCTCCCCTCCCCTCGCCTGCGCGAAACGGCTGCGGGCGGCTGGCTCGGCCCTCTGGGGGGCCCCGGGGGGGCTGTTGGGCCCTCGCCGGCAGGCCCGCCTTGGAAGAAGCCCCCGAGCGTCCCAGGGGGCCGGGCGGGAGCTGAGCGCCGGTTGCCCTGCCTGAGTAGCCGAGTCGCTTGAAAACCTCCCGAGTTGCCAGCTGGAGTTCAACTCTCCCCCCCTCCCTAGCTCGGCAGGCAGTTTGCAGCCTCGACTTTAGGTCTTGGGAGCAGAATCGGAGCGGGTCAAAGCGAGGAGAAGTCATGGGGCGAAATCCGGCAGGCTGACTGATGTCCAGTGTAAGGGGCTGCCTTTGGGGACGCTCACCAATCCAGTTCGAGTCCGGAGTGGCCTGGCTTTGGGGAACTGGATCAGCCGATGCCTCAGCAGACCCCCCCCCCCAAGGCCTCTGAGTAATCTCAGCTGTGTCTGCTTGACTTGGAGTGGGTGAAGCCTTGCCCCTTAAGAAGGACTTGGAGAAGCTGCTGGGCTCTCATTCTGGCTGCTCTCCTCTGAAGCCAGCAGGCCAGGGAAGGGGTTGAGCTGAGGGCAGGACAGAGAACAGGAGGCTGCAGTACTTAAAGGAGATTCAGGTTTGACTAGTAGCAGGAATTCTCTGGCCTTAGTCGCTCTTCAGCAGTGAAACAACCTGCAGATGCTCAGCTGGGAATGTTGGGAGCCACCCAGGGAGGTTTCCTGCCCTGCACAGTGGATTTCAATTTGCACACATTGTGATACTTGAAGTGAAACTTTGTTGCCCGTTTATTTCGGACAAGCTGCAAGATGCGATGTCGGATTTTGTATCTGTTCTTTTTCTCCTCCTAGTTCAACTATGGATAAACGAGGTGGATTGGCAGAAGCTGTGAATGGAGATGCATTGCTTAACATGAACATAATCGGCACAATGAAGTTCCCCCATCGCTACACAAAAGTAAGCAGCTAGAATTTTATTGAGCTTTAAAGTGTAGCATAGCTGACTCAGGAATTCTGGGAGTTGAAGTCCATGAGTCATAAAAGAGCTGAGGTTGCCTAACCCTGGACTGTAGCTAAATGGACATCGATGTGTCTCACCCCATATTTAGAACAAGACTATTTCTGCAAGTATAGAATTAATTTGGAAGCTGCTTTTCTTGTTTGGAACTTGATTTTCATATCCTTTTCCTATAAGAAGGCATTACTGAAATGCCATTTAAACTGATGCCCATGCTGAACAACAAGTATCTCAGGCCCTGTACATTTCAGTTGGTCATCACAGTAATGTATGATTTAAGGATAGGAATTGGTTCTTGTAATTATTACTGCTGTCAGTTTATTTTATTAAATGTTTTGAACAGTGAACAAAACCAACTTTTACAACAGTGATTATCAATTTAAATGATGATGCTTTTCTTATTTCTATATGCTTATAGAGTAAATGTATAATTGTTCAGATTGAAATACATAGATATTGTGTTATACTGTACAGTAATATAAAATTATGTGACAATAATATGGAACTATGTGCAATGCTGGCTAATCTCAAAGTACAATTTGTACTATAAACAAATGTCACAGACCTGGATACTTGTTACTCTTTGATTGCTATACTTTTTTGAACCAGCATTTCTCAACCTCAAACTTTAAGGAGTATGGATTTCTGTGAATTGAAGTTACATATCTTAAAGTGCTATGATTAATATATATGTGTATGTATGTATGTATGTATGAATATATATATAGATATATCATATTTATATGTGTCTGTGTGTGTGTGTGTGTATATATATATATATATATATATATATATATATATATATACACAAATTTCTTTTTCTGAGAAAGAGTTAAAGAATTAAATTGGGAGACTAAGATGGCCATTTTGAGCTCATTTGCTCTCTTCAGTTAGCCACATCCTTTATAGGATTCGAACCTGGGTAGTCCACATGCTAGGCAGTTGCTTAACCACCAAGCCACAGGCTCTCTTCCGCTCTTTGCCAGCCGAGTCAAGGGAGTATATACAGGAAGTTTTTCAGACAGACCTTGCAGACCCCAACTAGGGGCGATAAGCAGGCTCAAGGCAAAAGAAATTATAAAAAGTAGAACTGCAGTATAGCATTCAAAATGCCAAGGTGTAATCAATCAGACCGGTCTGTCTGAAAAATTTCCTATATATACTCCCTTGACTCGGCTGGCAAAGAGTGGAGGAGAGCCTGTGGCTTGGTGGTTAAGCAACTGCCTAGCATGTGGACTGCCCAGGTTTGAATCCCATAAAGGGTGTGGCTAACTGAAGAGAGCAAATGAGCTTGAAATGGCCATCTTAGTCTCCCAATTTAATTCTTTAACTCTTTCTCAGAAAAAGAAATTTGGATTTGTAGATGTTTTGCAGTTGCGACTTGAGCCAGCTTATTGCCCCTAGTTGGGGGCTGCAAGGCAAAAGAAATTATAAAAAGTAGAACTGCAGTATAGCAGTCAAAATGCCAAGGTGTAATCAATCAGACCGGTCTGTCTGAAAAACTTCCTGTATGTAGGTCTTTGGTTATTCGGGTTTTCTCCCGCGTCAAATTGGAAGTGTCTTGGCGATGTTTCGACGAAGTCCCATTCGTCATCTTCAGGCTGGTGTTTTCGGCTTCGTGCTTCTAGGAGCAATGTGTGATCATAGCTGTTTCTTCCTTTTAACTGCCAGTGGGGGTATGAACTGATTGAGTGGGAGCTTGGCTGTGTTCTGATTGGGTGGAGGTGTGTTCTGATTGATTAGGGGCTTGGCTGTGCTCTGATTGGATGGGGGAGTGTTCTTTTTGGGTGGGGGCTTTGTTGTGCTCGGGTTAGTCTGAGTTGCAGGGGGATTTGAGATGGTGAGCTGTGTTGCTGTTTGGCTTCGCGTTCGTGGTCATGCCTCATCTTCATGGTGGGTGTCAGTTTGCTTCATGTATGGATTGGAGGGGTTTAAAGTGGCTAATGATGCAGCTGTGGTCTGGCTTCTGGTTTGTGGTCATGCCTCATCATCGGTGTGGGTTTGGGTTTGCTTTTTGCGTGGATGTGTGGTGGTGACATCCTGTGTGGTTTTCATGAGTGTGGGTCTGGTTCATTCTTTGTGTTAGGGACTCGTTTGTCAATAAGGGCGGGTTTCCAAATGGCTGGTAGGCGGGACGTATCATCTCGTTTATTCATGCTGTGTGGGAGTTTTTCTATCTCGATGGCTTCTCTGATTATTCTGTTATTAAAGTGTTCAGTTTTGGCGATAGTTCTGGTCTTTTTAAAGTCAATTTCATGTCCTGTGGCTTTAAGGTGTTGGACCAGGGAAGAAGTTGTTTCCTCTTTTTTGACTGAGTTCTTGTGTTCTTCAGTGCGTGCATTTATTCTTCTGTTGGTTTGTCCGATGTATGTGGTGGGGCAAGCAGTGCATGGGATTTCATATACTCCTTGATTTTCTAACTCAATTTTGTCTTTGGGGTTTCTTAGGATGGTGAATATTTTTCTGTTTGTGCAGAATGCTGTCTTGATGTTGTGTTTGTGGAGGATTTTGCTGATTCTGTCTGTAGTGCCTTTTATGTATGGGAGGAAGGCTTTGCCGTTTTCTTGTTCTCTGTCTTGGATTTTAGTGGGTTTTTTTTTTTGGATTAGGTTGATAATCTTATTTCTTTGGAATCCATTGGATGTTAATACATTAGTGAGAGTGTGTAGTTCGGTTTTTAGGTGTTGTTCATCAGCTAAACGTTTTGTTCTGGAGATGAGTGTCTTGGCTACGGAGTTGATCTGTGCTGGGTGGTGGTGTGAGAGAGCGTGCAGATAGCAGTTTGTGTGTGTTTTCTTCTGGTAGATGGTGTGTCCTAGGGAGCCATTGGATTTCTTGTAGACTAAGACATCCAGGAAGGGAAGTTGGTTATTAGCTTCTGTTTCCATGGTAAACTGTATTTTGGGGTATAGGCTGTTGAGGTGTGTGAGAAAGTTGTCCAGTTTTTCTTTCCCATGTGGCCAGATTATGAAGGTGTCGTCTACGTATCTGAGCCAGAGTTTGGGTTTGTGATCAGATTTTTCTAGAGCTTGGGTTTCAAAGTGTTCCATGTAGAGGTTTGCATTGACAGGTGAGAGGGGTGATCTCATGGGTGCTCCTTCTATTTGTTTGTATTTTTGTCCGCTATAGATGAAGTATGTGTTGGATAGGCAGTGGTTGGTCAGATCTAGGATGTGTTTTGGGGGGGTTATATTTGTTTTGGATAGCTGTCAAGGCTTCTTTGATTGGCACTTGGGTGAAGAGGGATATGACATCGAAGCTCACGAGTAGGTCGCTGGGCTGTAAGTTTTGTTTCTTTATGATCTCTATGAACTGGAATGAGTTTTTTACGTGTGAGGTGATGGATTCTGCAAAGGGCTGTAGTTGTTTGGCGAGAAATTTGGCCACACCAATGATGAGGCACGACCACAAACCAGAAGCCAGACCACAGCTGCATCATTAGCCACTTTAAACCCCTCCAATCCATACATGAAGCAAACTGACACCCACCATGAAGATGAGGCACGACCACGAACGCGAAGCCAAACAACAGCAACGCAGCTCACCATCTCAAATCCCCTGCAACTCAGACTAACCCGAGCACAGCCAACCCCCCATCCAATCAGAGCACAGCCAAGCCCCTAACCAATCAGAACACACCTCCACCCAATCAGAACCCAGCCAAGCTCCCACCCAATCAGTTCATACCCCCACTGGTAGTTAAAAGGAAGAAACAGCTACAATCACACATTGCTCCTAGAAGCAAGAAGCTGAAAACACCAGCCTGAAGATGACGAATGGGACTTCGTCGAAACGTCGCCAAGACACTTCCAATTTGACGCGGGAGAAAACCCGAATAACCAAAGACCTACATATAAACACCCGCGAAAACCTCAGAAAACAAACAAATAAACACACACACACACACACACACACAAAATGCATATACATATACACACACCCATGTATTCTTTTGAGAGTGGCATCAGAATTTCATTTTTTAATGTGTGCCAGTGTGTTCATTAAAAAAAATGACAATAAAGGTTATCTTTGGGAAACAATGCTTTCAACTATTGATAACCTACGAAATCATCTGAATTTCAAAAGTTATTAGCTCTGAATACATACTGTGAATATAACTCTTGCATTCCTGTGAATCTTTGTTATCCCATTGACACCAGTAATATTTACATTGATCTTTGGCATATTCTGTGTACTTAAGTGGTTTGGTTTAGTGGCTAAGCTAGAAACCAGGAGCTTGCAAGTTCTAGTCCAGGCATGTCAAACTCGCGACGTCACATGACGTCACGCAACGTATTGGGCCGGTTTTGCCATTGCCGTCAGTGGGGTGGGCACGACTTCCACGTGACGCATCCGGCCGACAGGCCGGCAGTTTGACACCCCTATTGTAGTCCTTCCCACTTTAGGCATGAAAGCCAGCTGGGTGACTTTGGGCCATTACTTTTGCTCAACCCAACTATCTCCTAGGGTGGTGGTTGTGGGAAAAATAGAATGAGGAAAGTGTATTGGGTGTGTTCATTGTGTTATTTATAAAAATAATAAAAGGGGGATAAAAATGTATTAAGAAATGAAAATTGTCTTCAATCAGATTCTTTGTCCCAGCTGTGTAAGATCATTTGGTTTGTTACGTAAGGCAATAAATATAGAAGCTTTTAAGTAAAAATACATTTCATAAAAGTTCACTAACCACTGTAGCTTCCCCCCCCCCAAATCCTAAGACAAGCTTAAGAAAGTACAATCCTCTTTGTAAAGGGCTGTACAAGCCTGGGCCAATGAGCAAAAAATGTTTGACATGGCTTTAAATCCTTTAGTTTCCAACAAAATAGCTTGATGAATTTCTCTTTCCAAAATATCCCAACTTTAACAATATTGAATTCTTTGGAACACTTTCAGCCAATATATTTATATTGAATGTCATAGTGAATTAGATATTGTTTTTTTTTTCAGGAAGAACTCCTGGACATTAAAGAACATCCTCAGTCTAAACAAAGGCCATCATGTCTCTCTGAAAAATATGACAGGTGATTCTGTTAAGCCTACAACATGGGCCAGTTTGAATGTTGGCATGCCAGTTTACTAACTAGAAAATGCATGCGTTGCATACTATACTTTATATATTAGTAAAGTTTGGCTTTAATGCAGCTGCCTAGAGGTCTGTACTTTTCATTTATACAACTTGTTATTTTTTTTGTGACGTTTTATTGACTAGCTGTTAGTAAAAGGTGACTATAAAGATAATAGCTAATATGCAATCTAAAGGTAACACAAAATATATGTGGGGACCATTAAACTGATAAGGATAATTGGCAAAAAACATTTTTTTTCTATTCTAGGGATCTCCAACTTGATTAGCATTGTTTGCCTAATTCACTGCAAATTATAAACAATAATGAAATGGTTCAAATTCAGTATTTTATCCCTAGGTCAGTGGTGGCAAACCTATGGCACGGGTGCCAGAGGCGGCACTCAGAGCCCTCTCTGTGGGCACGCGTGCCGCTGCCCCAGTCCTAGGCCTTCAGCTGGGTTTATAAAACCTTTTTGTTTTAGTCCTCCACTGCCGTGTGCAAAAAGAAAAGGTTCAATCGATCAGTCAGTTTCAACTTTTCACAGGGAAAAAAAAGATCTTGCAAAATTGGAATTGATTGATTGAACTTTTTAGTCCCACACCCACCTAATGGGCCACACCCACCCGGCACCCGATGATGCATAAGTGGGTTTTGGGTTGCAGTTTGGGCACTCGGTCTCTAAAAGGTTCGCCGTCACTGCCCTAGGTTGTACTAGTGCAGGGGTGTCAAACTGCCGTCCTACGGGCCGGATGCATCATGCCGAAACTGCACCCACCCCATTGCCGGCAATGGAAAAATCGTGATATGTCTCAACACGTCACGTGATGTTGCGAGTTTGACACCTCTGCACTAGTGAGAGGTCCTAATTTTGAAGCCAGTTTATATATTTGTCACTGGAGAGCCTGTGGTGGTTCCAAGGGGGCCTATACCAGATAGGATTGCTATGGTGGTGTCACTCACAAAAGAAAAACAAGCAGGAGCTTTGGGTGTGTGATGGGGAGGAGTATAGGTCATCACAACTTTGGTAGAGGAAACAGTTTCTTATACACAGGGATCATATCAGCTGTGACATAATGTGGCAGATAATTTTAGGAGTCCTGCACATTTTGGTTGCATTATATATACTTGCAGATTATCTGGCGTTCTGTTTCCCACAAAAGAAATTTGATTTTCTTCTGAATATTGGGTAGAACTCTGAACAGACAGCTTGTGAATATTGCAACATTGTTTGCATTGTTAGTGCTATAAAATATTTCATGCAGCTAGTTTATAATATATTACTTTTAATATACACATTAAACAGTACAAATAGTAGAGTACTTGTGTGATTTTTATTAACATTGATTTGCATGTCAGAGGCTTAATGCAATAGCACAGTGGTGGCGAACCTATGGCACGGGTGCCAGAGGTAGCAGTCAGAGCCCTCTCTATGGGCACATGCACCATCACCCCAGTCCTAGGCCTTCAGCTGGGTTTTATAAAACCTTTTCGCTTTAGGCCTCCGCCGCCGTGTGCAAAAAAAAAAAAAAAGGTTCAATCAGTCAATTTCAACTTCTCGCGGGAAAAAAAAAGTTGGAATTGATTGATTGAACTTTTTAGTCTCACCCAGTCTGCCGTTACCACTGCAGCCATGCCCACTCAATTGGCCACGCCCACCCAATGGGCCACACTTACCCGGCATTCGACGATGCATAAGTGGGTTTTGGGTTGCAGTTTGGGCACTCGATCTCTAAAAGGTTCGCCATCACTGCAATAACATCTATAAGCCTATCAAAATACATGGGGAGGACTGACTGACCTGGAAGTTATTCTTTAGCACAGAGGTCCCCAACCTTTTGGGCACCAGGGACCAGCTCCATGGAGAGAGATTTTTCCACGGACCAGAGTGTGTGTGGTTTCGTGTGCTGCCTGCATCCCACGGATGGGGCTTTTCTTGTTTATGCGGTCCAGTTGCTGGCATGCCACAGCCTGGTACCGGTTCACAGCCCGGGGGTTGGGGACTCCTGCTTTAGCAGATCATAATACCCAAGGATATGTAATTTCTTACCATTTACCCACTTCAAAGTATACACTTTGGTTTCAACTGTTCATAAAAGGAAAAGGTTTGTAAATTGTGCAGAAGAGTTTTTAATAGGTTTTGTAGGTGGGAGCTAAGTATAAACGACAGAGGTTTTAACAAGAGCCTTCCTGCTTAACTGGCTGCACAAGCAACTTATTACAGGTAAAAATCCCAGGTATTCCACCTCCCCATTAGCAGCCTGCAAAATGGATGAGATGTTTTGGTTAGTTGATTGGTTTTGTGTTTGTATGACCAACTGGCATTGTTGCCTTGCATCTACTGCTGGAGCCTGCAGTGATTGCTGGCCTTGGCCATTTCCATCCTCTTCTTGTACAGTTAAGCTGAAATGGATCACTGAAAAAGTTAACTGTGCCGTCAAACAGAAAGCCTACTCAGAGGCAGTCTCCTTGCCATTTCCATGGTCCAGAGGCTGTCTCTGAGTAGGCTTTCTGTTTAACATCATAGTTAACTTTTTCAGTGATCCATTTCAGCTTAACTGCACAAGAAGGTCATGATAATGATAGTTTCATTTTTTTTTCCACTGAGTGTGTCAACATCTAGAGCAGTGGTTCTCAACCTGTGGGTCGGGACCCCATTTGGGGTCGAACGACCATTTCACGGGGGTCACCAAACAAGGCTGTCCGCCATTTTTTTCCCCTTTTCCTTAGCTGTGCTACTTCCTTTTCTTCTATTGGCTTTTGAAAGCCAATAGAATTAGACTCTCTTGAATAGAGTCTAATTCTATTGGCTTTCAAAAGCCAATAGGAATTGTCCAGGCTGTCTCTGCCCTGCTGAGCCCGCCAAAAGTCCCATTCTGCAAACGGTGCTGTACCAGTTGAGTAGTCCTCGACTTATGACTGGTTGAGTAGTCCTCGACGTACGACCGGTTGGAGGTCGCGGCATTAAAAAGGTTGAGAACCACTTATCTAGAAGCCTTCCTGGATTTCTGGGAGTGTGAATTTTGGAATAGAGCTGCTGAGATATGCCTGAGTCACAGAGAGCGTCTTGGTGCTGCAAGTTCCCCAATGCCCTCTGGCTTTGCATCACATTTTATTTAGCCCATGTGATGGACTGCATGGACAGTGAATGTCCTTGCCTAATTAATGGAGAATGTTTTCCTGTTAAATTTCCTTATAATTATTCTCTCCATTTCAGCCATGCATTTTATGAACCTGCATGTTAATTAACTTAAATATTGACAGATAAATTGCAGGGCCCTGCAGTCCTCCTCTGAGCTTCTTTTGTACAGTAAACAAATGTGGGCAGGCTATCCTTAGCCCACCTTTTAAAAAATAGGTTTTGATAGAGAGCTGTGTATGCCACAGCAGAGAAAACCAGGGCTTCCTCTAGCATTAACCATCTGGTCACTATGTTCCCCTACTCACTATTTCTATTAGAACAATGTTGCTGAAAGCAAGCATGGATGTCTCATTTTTTTCTTCCCAATTCCGGCTGAAAGGGTACTTGGTTTCCAACGTGTAGTTTTGTTGATGGCTCCTTCTACTAGTTTGTATTTATTTCCCTTCCAAGTCGTCATTTTTAAATTCATTTGAAAAATCTATATGAAACTGTCCATTACTGTCAAGGGAGGGCTGCATCTTTTGGGATTTTTGTTCTAAGATTCTTACCTTTCTATTCGGGAGCGGAGCTTTCCTTTCTGAGGCCCAGTCTATTTCTGGTAGTTTCTCCCAGGCCTATACAGTCGGACAGAGTTGGCATGATTAAACAGTGTCACCAGGTGGGAACCAGGAAGTGGGTGTTTTCCGTCCTAGTGCTTGTCCTTGGAACAGCATCCTCCCAGAAATCTGGGTAGCTCCTAACTTGACCTGTTTAAACAGTCTTTAAAAACCTGGCTTTTTCCCCAGGCTAGGTCAGGATTACTTACAAAAGATCCAGTCAAATATTAAAGTACTAATTTTTGTTAAAACAACAAAAATGTTACCTTGATCAACATGTTTGATGTTCTATTATTGAACCCAACTAAGTTTGGTTTCAGTAGTAATCCAAAATTCAGAATGCTGAGTTTCAAGGGGCAAAATCATTTTTCTGATCTTTTGGTTGCTAATTAAACCTGCTGTGGGAATTTGTAACCCCAAGCACCATCTAGAAATAAGGCTACCAAAGTTTTCTATGAAATGCTGTATTGAACAAAGTTTCTTGTAATGTCAGCTTTCTGAAAAGTTTGTGTTTCTGCATTCATGTTTCCAAAGTATTTGAACCACTTCAGAGTGGTTGTGAAATTAAGGATGAGATGCTACACTTTCCAAGGCTAGGACTTAATTAAGAAGAGTGTAATGCTTGCTTTGGTCAAAAGCACTGAGCATCTTAGATGTTAAAAAACATTGGCCTAGTTACAACAACAACAACAATAATAATAAAGTTGGAAGGGACCTTGGAGGTCATCTAGTCCAACCCCCTGCTCAGGCAGGAAACCCTACATTCGGACAAATGGCTGTCCAATGTTTTCTTAAAAACTTCCAGTATTGGAGCATTCATAGCTTCTGAAGGCAGGTTGTTCCACTGGTTGATTGTTCTAACTGTCAGGAAGTTTCTCCTTAGTTCTAGGTTGCTTCTCTCCTTGGTTAGTTTCCATCCGTTGCTTCTTGTCCTGCCTTCAGGCGCTTTGGAGAATAGCTTGACTCCTTCTTCTTTGGGGCAGCCCCTGAGATAATGGAAGACTGCTATCATGTCCCCCCTCATCCTTCTCTTCATTAAACTAGACATACCCAATTCCAGCAGCCTTTCCTTATATGCTTTAACCTCCAGTCCCCTAATCATCTTTGTTGCTCTTCTCTGTGCTCTTTCTAGAGTCTCAACATCATGGTGACCAAAACTGGATGCAGTATTCCAAGTGTGGCCTTACCAAGGCATTGTAAAGTGGTATTAACACTTCACGTGATCTTGATTCTATCCCTCTGTTAATGCAGCCTAGCACTGTGTTGGCTTTTTTGGCAGCTGCAGCACACGGCTGGCTCCTATTTAAGGGATTGTCCACTAGGACTCCAAGGTCCCTCTCACAGTTGCTACTGTTGAGCAAGGTACCCGCTCTACTATACCTGTACATTTGGTTTTTCTTGCCTAAATGTAGAACCTTACTTTTTTCACCGTTGAATTTCATTTTGTTAGATAGTGCCCAGTGTTCAAGTCTGTTAAGATCCTCCTGTATCTTAAATCTATTTATTGCTTATGAGTCTTGTACTCTTCCTACTAGTGGCAGCTGGAATTATTTTTTAGCAGGGATTCATTCATATTTTTTCCTAACTGGGATTCCCGGCTCGTTGCTGCCAAATAAGACAGGCACTAAAAGACAATAGAAAAATACATTTGAAAAATTATCTATTGAAAAATACATAATAAAGCATGGTCAGTTGCTCTTATTAAAAAGCTTATTGATAACTTTTGAGTTAAATTCAGATCTGGAAAGATATTAACATAATCTTTCCAGGTATGAATTTAGGAATCAAAATTAATTCATAGTTTCCACAAGCTACAGTATTTGCCAAAATTAAAGCTATTACTCTTACTAATAGGTCTAATATTGGCAACTTGCAATTTATTGAAACTGAATGAATTTTGAATTTTGTTATTAAATGTTAAACATAAACAAGTTTCAATAGTGTTGAAGAGTTTGCAGCTGAGGTTCAAGTATTTGATAACCCACTGAGTACTTTTCTTCGGTTGATGAAGTTAGTAAGCATACTCTTAGTGTGGTTATCGAGCCTTAGCTCACATTAAATAACTTTCTAATAACAATCCACTGTGGTCATTATCTAATGCTTTGCTGAAGTCAAGATGTATTATATAGACAGATTGTATATAAAGCACTCCCAGTATTTATTCACTTGAAACATTAGGAAGTTATTGACAAGACGCTTCTTGACAAATTCATGCTGACTACTGGTAATTGATTTATTTTCAAGTTGCTTGCAGATTGGCTGCATATGATTAGCTTTGGAATCTTCCCACATTTTCCTTTCTGACTGACTGTAATTTCCTGGATCCTTCCCCAGTCTTTTGGAAGATGCTTGCCATGTTTTGATAATTCCTTTACCTGTTCTTCAGGCTTTTCAGTGGAAATACAAATATGTAGATCAGACAATTAGCTTTCATAAGCTAAGGCACAGTTCAGCTGTCCCAGGAAATTTAAACTCATTCAGAGTAATTAGACATTTCCTATTTCTATTATTCTCAGTCCTGCCTCTTCAGTTCTTCACATTTCTTAATGAAATTCCTATTATTTGAATTATTTGAGGGCCTGCTTCTCCCCGATTGTGTCTATCCATGCCACCAGATCCAGCAGCAGAAGAGGCACGTTATGGATCCCATCTATTAAAAAAGGACATTGGTAGAGGCCAGGAAGAGATCCATTTCTCTTGTAGTACCTATTCTTTGGGAATATAATCCCCTCCAGAGATTAGATTGGCGTTTTGCTTGTCTTTGAAGACCTGATTATGCCACAGGGATGGTGGTTAGAATGTGAGACAGAGGCTGTTACGTTGATGGTTGGGATGGTTTTATCTTGGCTTCCAATTTGTTTCTATTGTGATATTACTATTTTATGTTTTTAACTGCTGTTCCTCATACAGAGTCATGAGCAGGGGTCTCCAAATTCAGCATGGCTGGCTGAGGAATTCTGGGAGTTGAAGTCCATAAGTCTTAAAATTGCCAAGTTTGGATGCCCCTCACATGCTTGGGAATGTGAGATGGGTGACCATGTAAATTTAGATGAATAAATATTGTTGAATAAATAAAGGCCTAATAAAGTTTCAATAAGCTCTAATTCGTTTTTGTTACTTTTGTAACTATTTTGCTAGCTTTGTTGTGAACTGGTACACTGCTTTTTATTTTTTATTTCATTTCAAACATTCTATCATTTTTCACCAGCCGCAGTTTATCCTATATGTGTGCACGCCTTCATGACTTGTTCCCTTTCCACTCCTTGTATCTGTCCATTTGTTTACTTATTTATGACATGCTTTCAGTACCTCTTTTTTGAATCCATTTTCTTTTTTAATTAAGTTCTCCTATTGAATTTCAGTTATTGTTGCTCTGAGATTATTAATTCACTTTTTTAAAAAAATCAGATATACTTGTTCATGTACAGCTCACTCCGTTTTAATTTCCCTTAAAATGCAGAGTTCCAGCATTTCTCCCAATGGGCTTGCTTCTTCTCCCGTGTGATCAATTAAGTCTTCCTGTTTTCAAGAAGAGGGGTTCTTTATGAATCCATTTTGAATGTTCTGTTTTAAAATTGGTGTTTCATATCTTTGTACCTGCAGGCATTCATTGAGCAGATTTGGACAGATCTGTGATTTATTGGGTTTTATTTATTTAATTTTATATATCGTCCATTACATTTGCCTGCCTCTGTATTTGGTTTTGGGTTGGAAAGAGTAGCTTTTTTGAGACTGAAGGGAATTGCTTATATAGCTTTCATGGAGTCTTCAGCAACATGTCTTGGCTTAACCTCTGTCTGTCGCTGAATATCAAATGCCAGGTGAAATGTAAAGTGATTCTGCCTTTCCAATATTGCAGTGATGGGGTATGGGACCCTGAGAAATGGCATGCATCCCTGTATCCAAATTCTGGAAGGACTTCACCGGTGGAGAGTCTAAAAAAAGAATTAGACTCAGATCGGCCTGCCCTTATACGGAGAATAGCGGGTGAGTATTATACTCATTATGAGTTACAAACTGAATGGCAAATATAGTATATGTAGTAGTTCATATTGGAGGTGGTTAGCCTTTGAGAGCTGAATGCAACGAAATTTCATGTTAAAGTATGCTGATTAGTGTACATTTGAAGTGACAATAAAGTTAACTCTATTCTATTTTCTATTTTAAATCTTCAGTGCCATGAAGTGCTAATTTTGGATTCTGTCCTCACTTAATAGAATGGATTAGCACTAAACCACAGGTCGGCAACCTGCAGCTCCAGAGCCGCATGCGGCTCTTTGAGCCTTCCCCTGCGGCTCCCAGCCTCCTCTGTCTTTGCAGAGAGAGAGAGACAGAGAGAGAGGCAATTGCGCTTCCCTGCTTCTCTCTCTCTCTCTCTCTCTCTCTCTCTCTCTCTCTCTCTCTCTCTGTGTGTGGGGGGGGGGGGTTTGTGTGTGTAAAAGAGAGTGCACTCACAGTGTTCTCCGAGGAGCTGAAAAGCTTTCTGGACGGAGCTCCTCCCTTTGCTGCGTCTCTGCAGGAAGCAGGAAGGGCAGGAGAGAGAGAGCTAGCCCAGCTAGGCTGACTCAGGAATTCTGGGAGTTAAAGTCCATGAGTCATAAAAGAGACGAGGTTGCCTACCCCTGAGCTTGTTGGACAACAGCCTGAAGCTTGTCAGGTGAGCAGCAGATGGGGGGGGGGAGAAAGAGAGAGAGAGGAAAGAGAGAGAGAGAAAGAAAGAGAGCGGGGGAAAAGGAGTGGCAGACCAAGGGCAGATAGAGAGGAAGGGAGAGAGAGAGAGAGAGAGACCCTTTTGACATCTAAAATGAAGATAACACTGCATATATCCTTTTTTTACCTGTGTGTGTGTATGTGTGTGTGTGTGTATGTGTGTGTATGTATATATATATATATATATATATACATACATACATACACATATATACATACACACACACACACACACACACACACACCTATAATAAAGGTAAAAAAGGATATATGCAGTGTTATCTTCATTTTAGATATCAAAATGGTTTTGCGGCTCCCAGTGTTTTGTTTTTGGTGGGAAACGGGTCCAAGTGGCTCTTTGAGTGTTTTGGGTTGCCTACCCCTGCACTAAACCAATGCAGGTCTTGTTTTTGTTGTTGTGGCTGGTGCTCATTTTGGATATTTATAATGGGGATTTACTGTTTTGCAAACAGAATATTAAGTTGTCATTTGCATGCAAATGAATTGCTTAACAAGTAGGAGCTATTCCTGATTTTTCTTGTATTTATTACATTTGCCTCGGCCTGTGGCTAAAATCTCTTTCCAACCTGCAGATCCCAGAGAACGAGTAAAAGAAGATGAATTGGATGTAGTGCTGAGTCCTCAGAGGCGAAGTTTTGGAGGAGGCTGTCACGTTACTGCAGCAGCTGGTGCACGTCGAGCCGGGAGCCCACTGGAGAAAGAACACGACTGTGTCCGTGTCATTGGTGGGCGTAGAATTGGTAGTGGAAGAATAATTTCTGCACGAAACTTTGATAAAGACCACCGGAGCAGTGAAAAAGACTCCCGGGATGCACGAGATGCGAGAGAGAGAGACCGTGACAGGGAATACAAAGACAAGCGCTTCAGGGTTAGTGCAAAAGTGGATGAAATAGGAATGTGGCTTGGATTTGGTATTTGGTATTGGTTCTCAACCTGTGGGTCGGGACCCCATTTGGGGTCGAACGACCATTTCACGGGGGTCGCCAAACAAGGCTGTCCGCCATTTTTTTCCCCTTTTCTTTGGCCACGCCCCTGGCACCCGGTGATGTATAAGTGGTTGGGGGTCACCATAACATGGAGAAATGTATTATGGGGTCGCGGCATTAGAAAGGTTGAGAACCACTGTTCTAGGTTAGCCTTTTTTTTAATGCAGGGATTGCAGGTTGCAGATTCCTTGTGCATCTTCAAATGCTGGAAATACTTGCAGCCTGGGCTTTGGATAAGATAATGCTTGTGTTTTTTCAGACACAAACTTTGGGATGCTCAAATTATTGAACCTGTTAGAACACTACAATTTCTGTTTTCTGGTTGGAAACAGACGATAGGGACCCGAACAGGCTTAAGAGTTGGTGAACTTGCCTTTAAGTATAGGAGTAAGTCGTACTTTCCTTAAAAACCTCTGTGGGGGGGGGGGGGAATAAACATTGCACTTTTCCATCCTTGTAAACAGCACAGGATTTTTGATGGCCATAGAGCAGGGTGAGATGTACAATTCAGCCCAGCACTTAGAGGGTCCCACCGTTCTCTGTTTGGTTGCCAGATCAAGTCTGTTGGTTATTCAAAATATGAAAAAGGAAAATTGGTTGTAGTCTTGGCCTCTTTAAGGGAACATTCTCACCTCTCATTTTTTTTTCTGTTAATTTCTTCCTTGCTGAGTACTAAGCCAAAGACTGGCTAAGAGTGGAGAAAGCCTGGTATTTCTTGTGACTGGATTTCCTTTCCTGTGCTCTCAGAGGGAATATGGGGACAGCAAGCGTCTCTTTGGGGAACGTCGAAGGAATGACTCCTACACCGAGGAAGAGCCCGAGTGGTTCTCCGCCGGCCCCACAAGTCAGTCAGAAACCATTGAACTGATAGGGTTTGACGATAAAATCCTAGAGGAGGAACATAAAGGACGGAAACGAACCAGGCGCCGCACGGCCTCTTTGAAAGGAGGTACTTGATGCCAAAAAGCACAGTCTTGGTTACGTGGAGAAAAGCTCCATATCAGCTAAACCAAACTATCATGTGTGTTCGTTCATCTTCTGTAATTTTATTTCCAAGATGTTATGTTATTCAGTAAAATTAGACTGAAATGCTTCTGCTGTAAAATCAACTTTCTACTTTTACTTATGACGTGTACCTTTCCTGTACTCTAGAATGAGGTCCAGGATAAATAAGATTTAATGCAAAGGGCAGACAAATGAGCAGGTTTGGATCACCAGTGTGGTAGCACAATAGTAAGCCAAATGATAAGTGTAACACATACAGATAAATTCATAATAGTAACTATTTTGATCTTCACCAGATACTGAATGGAATAAAAATATCATAAGTTCTTAATATGATCCTGGGGGGGGGGGAATGGCTATATGTGAATTTTTCCAAATAAGATCTTTGTTTACTTTGTATTTTTTGCCTGTTGAACCACATTCCCCCTAGCCGGCTCTTTCTAGAGCAGCGGTTCTCAACCTGTGGGTCGGGGCCCCATTTGGGGTCGAACGACCATTTCACGGGGGTCGCCAAACAAGGCTGTCTGCCATTTTTTCCCCCTTTTCTTTGGCCACGCCCCTGGCACCCGGTGATGTATAAGTGGTTGGGGATCACCACAACATGGGGAACTGTACTTTGGGGTCGTGGCATTAGAAAGGTTGAGAACCACTGGCCTAGAGACTGTGTGCTCACCAACCAATGGCTGAATGTGCTAGCCTTAAGAGGTCTCAGGACTGCCTACAAAGTAGTTTTGAAGTATGGAGTCAAAAATATTTAAGACCACCAAAATTAGGGAGAGCCTTTAACAGGTACCTTTTGGGGTTTCCCTCCTGAACTTCAGTGGAACGGCTCTAACATTTACCTGGAAACAATGATGTGTTAATTGAGAGAAGCTTTTTATGAACTGAACTATAGTTCTCAGAGCCAGCAGCTAAGCCATTTAGCACCAAATGCTTGGTTTGAGATGATCCTGAAAGTCATTGTGGCCAGACTAATTGGGGGATTACTCTTCCAAGGGATAGAATGCAACGGTGGAGTAACTGAGGAGGAAGAACTGCAGACGACTCTCGGCCAGGAGAGGGCAGCTGACCAGGAAGTCCCCCGGGAAATGGTCCTGCCGGAATCGGCCTCGGGAGAGTTTGATTTCAATGAGTTCTTCAACTTGGATAAGAGCGTTCCAGGCTTGGCCTCAGTGAGTACTAAAAGAGCACCAAGTGCAGTGGGGAACCTCTGAAAGCCAGAGGTTTTATCTCTGAGGGAAGCAGCTAACTTAGCTGATTCCTTTTGCTGCATAGAAGATGTGGGCAAGACTGGTCAGTGGAACAGGGGGTTTTAAAGCTGCAGAACAGCCTCTTTGGGTGGATCAGTTGCATGTCCTCTCGGGCTATTGGGGCAATTCACTTCCTTTCTTGGCCTCCTCATTTTTGGTGATAGTTACAAAGGGATAAAGACTGCAAATCCTATTAAAAACATGAACGTGAAATCATTTCGGTAACACGTTACCAGTCCTTTGCTCTGATAGACTTTTTGATCAACATCTAGGGAAATTCTAGAGAAGAGTTTTGCTGAACTTCATTTTCCACCCTTCGTGGTTGAAATTCCACAAACCCTTGCAAACCCAGTGGTGGAGTTCTCTTGAAAGGCTGTGGAAGGAAGCGACTCCACAGAATATTAGTATCTGACTAGCAGATATAACCAAATATATTGGTTGCATAATTGGTTTTGGTTATATAATCATAACCATAATCAGGCCTCCTAGATTTTGCTGAGATTTGCAGGAGAAAACCTATAATGAGATATATAGAGCTAACCTAACCTTGGCTTGTTGAGACCTTGGCCTGCTTAGTACTCAAAATGCAGGTTGATAATTGGGAAGCAGAAGAGAAGGTGGGCAGGAGGGACGGAATGAAGGGCCATGCTTGGAAACCTGATTGAGACCCTAAGTAAATATGTCTTCAACGCCTCAGTGTAGATCCCACTTGGTAAAATTCACGGGAAGTTTCCAGGGCCTCACCTAGAGAAATATTACATTTGTACTGAACGTGCAGTATGCTTTTAACCTGCACATCAGGGACATTTGACTACTGTTCTCTGAAAGTGGAGAGACACGAAAGGGAATCTTGTCTGGTAGAAGATGGAAATTACTATGAGACATTGTAATTGCAGTTTTTATCCAGAAAGTGCAAGCACGTAAAGTGTTTTTATAGGATGGATTACCATTAGTTCTTACAGGGCCAAAATTATGCCTTAGACCAGTGTTTCTCAAGGTTGAGAAACACTGCCTTAGAAAGTAAATTCCTTTCCTCCAAAATGATAATCTGGCTTCTCCCACCGAAAGAGCAGTGCTCTCTTGGGCTGGTTGGCAAGGGTGCGAGAGATGGGATTAGGAATGTTGAGATACAGATTCTTCCCCAAATATTGGCATGGTGGACCGTTTAAAAAAAGCCAAATATTGGAAGGCACACTGGTGAAATTGTCACCTGTCCCCAGAGGCTATTTCCCTTTCTGATTTCACGCCAACTGCAGTGCTGTGGCCACCACTGCTTTTAAAAAACCTAGTTTGTTCTTCAACCTCTCATTTAGTGGCTAATTTATTTAGCAACAATTTACAAATAGGTCAGTAATTTTTTAAAAAAATTGATTTTCCAGCTAACAAATTTTGTGTGCTTGGCAATAGAAGCCTTTACTGTGAAACTGATGAAGGTCATTTGTGAAAATTCCAATAAAAATTATGGTCCCAGCTGAGCTTGTTAATTTGTGGTCTGCACTTTTCAGGGAAAAGCAAGCAGCTGAGGAAGAGATACCTAAGCAATCTCTCTCCCCCCCCCCCATATTAGGGAGCAAAAATATGAAAGAAAAAATGATTAGGCATAGGACGCTGTAAGAGAGGACTTTATCTGAATAAGACAGCAGCAACCAGTGCTTGCTCACTTTACTTAGCAATCATTTCACTTAAGATTTAAGGAACAGCTTGCAGCTGGTAAGCAGAGAGAAGGTTGACCCCACCAGCCTCAATCTTGCAAATATCAAAAGTACGTTTCAATGAAGTTACAAAGCATTTTAAACATTTTCTTAGTTGCACATCTATAGGGAGCTGATTTGTGATAACATGCTGTGGAAACCAAGTTGACAGCTATTTGTCCAAGACTTGGAGTTGACATGACTGAAATTAAAAAAAGAATCTTCTTAGTTTTGTTTTTGGTGAAAGAGGTCCAGATCCTTTCATGTATTGCACTAAACTATAATGTGATTTAGTTTTCTTTCTGTATGAACTCAACTACTGTGGTTTATAAACAGGTTTGGTGTAATATCATAAGTGAATTGTGATTAAGACTTAATTCATCACCTCAGTCTAATACATGGTCCAAGCTGTTAACTTGATGTGACCGAAATGCTCCTTGTTGATTAATCAGTGCAGCTTGAGTTTAAAAGAGCGAAAAAGGAGGGGGGGGGGAATATGGTGTAATTAGTTTCCAGGAAATTACAAGGAGTTTCTGCCTTTAGACAGAATGGATTCTACTTAACAGGAACCAATTGATCGTCAGTGTCCATTTTAAATAACTTTCCTATCTGGACTCTTGGCCCAGTTGCCTTTAAATAATTAATGCATGATGAAAAGCTGGCTTCAGACTAATCTTCTCTGCTGACTGGTCCCAGGTATGCCCAGAGCAGTAGATCCTTCTCTGAGCTCAGACTGAGCAATCCATTTCCCAGATGGCCCTGAACAGCTGTCGCTGGTTTTGGTTTGCAGAATTTCAAATCCAAAGCTTTTCAACAGCTTGTTTGTTGCTGAGTCTTACGTGGATCAGAATAGCAAAGCTAAAACTGGTTTCCTTTTTTTAAAAAAAAAAAATCCTATATCTGCACCGATTAATACAGTCCTGGCCTAAATGAAAGGGTGGTGCTAAGAATTTAAGGTCAAAGTAGTGGGAAGGGATCAAAAGTACAACAAAATAAATGTATAATAAAAAAATGGTGTTGCAGCTTCCCAACTCTCTTTGCTCTCTGCCAAGTGTACCTATCATTTGCCTGATCTATTTCATTTTTTCTTTCTTGGTACATTTTTAAAAAGCAGTCACTCACATTCTAACTTTCTGGGAATCCCTTCATCCTATCACTGGGTGTGAGAACTTCACTTGGCAGCAGCACGACAACCTCTCCAGTTAATTCTGCTCTCCCTCCCCCTTAATTAATTAAACAACCTGGCTTAAAAGAACATGGGAGCTTAAAATAATATAAACCTAGAGCTAAGATAATAATACTTAAGTTTACACATTGGACTAACAGCTGCTTGTCCGTGTAGAAAAACAAGGTAGTTAAGCGGTAAGGATCATGTCCCCTTGGTTCTTTTTTCTTGTGAGTCTTTGGCAGGGTAAGCAGGCCAGGGATGTTTGTGTTCTTGTTAAAGGAAAATGGCTTTAGAAGAAGGTGACCAAAACCTTGGTTAGATGTCCCTGTGTGGACTCAGTAATGCCCCTTGGTTGTGCTATAGTTTAGCAGGTCATTTTGGATAGTTGATGAAGCATCCAGAAAAAGATGTAGAGAATATTAACTGTTTGCCTCAACTATTATCTCGAGAGCTCTGTAATGAGATGTAATGGGAAGCATAGTGACCCCCATTTCTTTCCTCAGTTAATGGAGCTTTGATGCCTAGTATGCTTGAAAATCCTGAAAATGGCACTGAAATTCTGTTTCCACACCTTCATGGACGTCTAAAAAATGTCCTGTTTCTGCAGCTGAAACATGACATGCAAGCTGCTGAACCAAGTGCCTTTGAAATCAAGTACATAAATGGACAGAACTTTAGAAAAGAGACATGACTGGGATCCCTCTTGTATGTCTGCTTAGAGCAGTGGTTCTCAACCTGTGGGTCGGGACCCCATTTGGGGTCGAACGACCATTTCACGGGGGTCGCCAAACAACGCAGTCCGCCATTTTTTCCCCCTTTTCCTTAGCTGTGCTACTCCCTTTTATTCTATTGGCTTTTGAAAGCCAATAGAATAGACTCTCTTGAATAGAGTCAAATTCTATTGGCTTTCAAAAGCCAATAGGAATTGTCCAGGCTGTCTCTGCCCTGCTGAGCCCGCCAAAAGTCCCATTCTGCAAACAGTGCTGCACCAGTTGAGTAGTCCTCGACTTACGACCGGTTGGGGGTCGCGGCATTAAAAAGGTTGAGAACCACTGGCTTAGACAGTAGCTTTTGGAAGGAAGAGAAAGACTCGCTTAGGACAGTTGAGAGTCACAAATTCAGGAAGGACCCGTCTGCTGCAGGAGAAAGGATTTTGCAGAGCGTATAATAAGTGCTGCCTCTTATTCACAATTCCCAGACTTTTGTTCTATCACTGTCTGAAATAATATTCCTTTCCCCTCATGCTATAGATGATAGAAGATGTGCTGGGGGAAGGCTCTGTGTCTGCCAGCAGGTTCAGCCGCTGGTTTTCTAATCCTAGTCGATCTGGAAGCCGCTCAAGTAGTCTTAGATCTACGCCCCACGAAGAGTTGGAGAGACTGGCAGGTAACTGTGTCTTGTCCTTTCAGCCGCCATTCCATGCCTTGTAGAGAGCTGTAGGATTGTGAGCTTCTCATGTTGCTGGTTGCTTCTTCCTTTTAAAGCGGTCGCATCTCACCCATGGAAAGGAATGTCTTGAAAATTGCTGTTTGCAGCCTGTGAACGTCTTGCTGGGTTCCCGTGGTGCTACTTAGCCGCAAAACTTACAAGGCAGTCCTGGTTTTTACTGTTTCAGGTCTAGAGCAAGGCATTCTGTCCCCTGGTCAGAACTCTGGAAACTACTTTGCTCCTATTCCTTTGGAAGATCATTCTGAAAACAAAGTGGACATCTTAGAGATGCTACAGAAAGCTAAAGTGGACTTAAAGCCTCTCCTCTCGAGTCTCTCAGCCAACAAGGAGAAGCTGAGAGAGAGCAGTAAGTCTTCCGTTCTGCTGTTCTCCCTCTGCCTTCGGGCACCTCTGACCAAAACAGGCCCCAGGGCCAAGCTTTCCTTTCCATGCAGGAAGTGCTAAGGCTCACTTCAGGAGTCTTCCGGGGTATTGGTTGACTTGCAATTGCCTGGCCTGGGCCTTTTGGTGTGGGTGAAGCTCCCCCCTGATCTGAGTGGCATCTAAGGGCATGATGAAACTACTAAGCACTCGGATGCTTGCCTCTTGAGCAACTCTTGCCAATGCCATGTGCTAAATAAAAAAAATTAAAAAAAGCTGTTGCCAGACTTGCTTCCAGCCTCCACTGCCTCAACGGTTTTAGTAAAGCTTCAGCAGCTATTTGAGGCGTCTCTGGATCTGCTATAAAACAGGAAAATTCAAAAATTGGGAAACCGCCTAGCACAAGTGGCAAGCCATGCTTACAAGAATTGCACAAGCTCTTAGTCTTCCTGCTGGAATCCCATCCTGCTGATTATTGAGGTCCACCTTTACCTGTGAGCAACTGGCATGGAAGACCTGCATGTGGCACATGGGCGTCCAAGCAGCCCGGCCGGGTTTCAGGACAAAGTTTGTTGGCTTCTTGAAACGGAGACAGGCGTGTGCCCGGTGCTGAACGCCCGTTTGCATCTTTTGCTTTGTGCATCCAAATTACGTGGAGAGCAGAACTTTTTTGTTTGTTTGTTTCGCAGCTTGGCTAATGTGCATGCTGGAAAACTGAGGGTTTGGTCCTGCAACAAGGGTGTCTTCCTAAATAAACCCTGAGCCTATTTCTCAGGCTTCAGGCTTCCTGCTGAAATATGGCTGAATGTGTTTGAAAGACAAATTGAAGGAAATTGGGAGCACCAGGCCCCTCCTCCCGTGGATGCTGGTGCCTCTCGTTTGCCGCCTTAGCCACCAGGGTTTCTGGGAGAAAATCCAGGCCAAGGGGGCCTTCTGCTTCAGGGTCCCTCATCTCCTGCTGCCCGGAACTGTCTGGCCAAGGCAAGCGGCTCTTAGTGCAAGAGATTTTCTCTAGGAATTCTCTGGCTGGGATTTGCTAGCCACTTCCTTGCCCCCAAACAGATTTCCCTGGCAGTTCTCTCTAGCAGACATGACCTGTTGTGTCCTGTAAGCAGAACTCTGGAATGGCATGCTTGTGCAGCTGCTTTGACACTGCCTGTCCTCCTTAGAGAATAATTCAAGTGCTGCTTCTGCAAGAGAGGAAATAGCTGTTTCTCAAATCTGATAGTTGTACATCGTACCAAAGTGAAATGATGAAAGAATACAAAAAGCCTTGTGGATGGAAGAGCTGACTTTCAAAGCCAGACTGGGAAGTACCATATTCTAATGGTGTACTTCATTTTTCATTCCAAAGCAAGCCTACCCGGCCCATGGAAAGGAATGTGTAGAAACGTGCTGTTGAAGCCTATGAACTTGTGGGTTCCCATTGTGTTACTTAGCAGCAAAATGCATAAGGCACAAGTATGCAGCCCAGAATTGCTTGTTTGGTGAGATGGGCTGCTATATAAATTGCATAAATAAATACTGACCCAGTTTAATTGCACCCTAGTTAATGTTTTTGTGGCCAAATGATTGCAAACTACACAACAGAGTGTTTGCTTCCTAATGTGAGCTTCTGCTCAGAAGTGGAAATAAGAGAGATGATGCAGGCTTAATCCGTGTCAGTGAGGCTTCCCTCCCAGTGCATCATACATTTAGAAGCCTCAATGATTCAGATACACCAGCACTGAATTTCCATTAAAAGATTCTTGGAAGAAATTATTGTTCAAAAAGTGCAATGCTCCACTGGCAGATTTCACAATGTCTCATGTTTGGGGGTACAATACACTCGAAAAGTGCCGTTGTAAAGTACTGCTTGTGTCAATGAGGCTTGTGTACTATGAGCATGTATAGCTGCTTGTTTTTTGCTTCCCTTGTGTGTGCATTAAATTGTGCAAACCTGTTTGCTGCCTTATTTTTTTTCCACTTTAGATTCAGAAATTTTGGCATCCTGATGATTGAAAATCGACTGATTTCCTTGGTCTGCATGAACCCATCCCTTATTTGCTTATTTTGCTATTTAGATGACCTGGAAGATTTACTTCAGGTTTAGCTGCAGCTTGAATGTTAGTTCCTAGCATGGCTTTGGAATTTCTACCATTTTCACAGTCCTCCTGAATAAAGGTGGAACCTGCTTAAACTATTCTCTGGCCCCTGCTTTCTCACAGTCTCTGTAGATCCCAAATCTGCACCTAGTTCTTCATTATCCATCCTCCTCCCCCCTCCCCCATCTTCTTTTTCAGCACACTCGGGGGTTGTCCTCTCAGTGGAGGAAGTAGAAGCTGGGCTGAAAGGTCTGAAAATGGATCAGGAGGGGAAAACTGCAGCCCCCTTAATGGCAGAGCGGATGGAGGAGTCCCTAAACGTAGCTGATTCGCGGCACTTTAAAGATGGGGATATGTCTGCCTTCAACAAGCTAGTCAGTACCATGAAGGCAAGTGGAACTCTACCTTCACAACCCAAAGTCAATGTAAGTAATGAGACCCAGGTTCTAAAGCCTACCACGCCTGATCTTGGGCTATACTAAACTACCCCCATATTATACAGATGTGTAACATGCATAATGTATATAATAAACATTTGGTTTCCCGATGCATAACCTTTTTTTAGCACATCAGCATTGCTATGTAACTTAGCATTAAAGTACCCATTTTGACAATTTAAAAATTGCTCTGGCAATCTAATTGTTTGGGTTGAAACGTATCTACGTAGAGCATGCCAAAGTAGAAGCTTTTATTCATCTTTTTGATTTTATTTATTAGAGAAATTTATATGACTGCCCAACTCAGGTGACTCCAGGTGGCTTTCAACATTCATGGAGAGATGTTCTGTAAATGCAGCATTGCCACCAGAGATACTAATTCCATTTCAGTCTGTCATGGTGCTTAAGCACCTGAGTAGACTCAGTGACTAAAGATACTTTTTAAAATTCCATTTATTTATTTATTTAATTTTATTTATATGCCGCCCAATCCCAAAGGACTCAGGGTGGCATACAAAATTAAAACAATCATCTAACAATAAAACAATAAAATAATACAATCATACAGCGTGTCCGATCATATTTAGATGGACATTATTTTCCATTTAGATGGAAACCAGTCCCTTCCCCAGCAAATCCTTTTTCCAGAATACAAGATCAAGTTTCCGATGCACCATGGGGGGGGGGGTCCAAGGGCGAGAGGCCCACATTCACAGGCCTGCCCCTGAATGAGCTGTTTATTCTGGAGAAAATTTGTCCTGCAAGTGTCACTCAGGAAGTGGCCCAAAATGTATATTGAACTTTGGCTTGATCTAATTTGGAGCACTCTGCTGATGACTGTTTTGAATGACAGGGGGAAAAGCATCATTGCCCTTTTGCAGGTACAGTTCAGATGTGTGTCCTGACTGAGGACATTGCTGCTCTACTGTACCTCACAAAGCTGTACCTACTCTTTGTTTGGCGGCTTTGTGTGATAGATGAATCCAGCCATTGTGGTTGGTAAGCCATGGCTAATGCTTTAGTATTGATGCCAGGAAGCAGGCAGCTATGTCTTCCTCAACATACCACGTGTAAAAAAAAAAAAAGCTGACTATAATGCATAAATTGAACAAAATTCTCTAGTACCCTTCATGGTGCTCTTTTTATAAGCTCTGAGGTCTGTTTACAGTTGATAAGTCTGTTGATAAGAGCAGGTCTCATTCCATGCAACGTTCTGTAAAGCAGTAGTTCTCAACCTGTGGGTCGGGACCCCATTTGGGGTCGAACGACTATTTCACGGGGGCCGCCAAGCAACGCAGTCCGCCATTTTTTCCCCCTTTTCCTTAGCTGTGCTACTCCCTTTTATTCTATTGGCTTTTGAAAGGCAATAGAATTAGACTCTATTCAAGAGGAATTGTCCAGGCTGTCTCTGCCTTGCTGAGCCCGTCAAAAGTCCCATTCTGCAAACGGTGCTGCACCAGTTGAGTAGTCCTCGACTTACGACTGGTTGAGTAGTCCTCAACTTACGACCGGTTGGGGGTCCCGGCATTAAAAAGGTTGAGAACCACTGCTGTAAAGAAATGTACTCAGTTGTAGCTCCAAATATCCTTTGAACTCAATATAACTTTTGTGAGAGGGTTGAGCAGAGGTCGGAAAGAATTTCAGGTTGAAACTGCTGAGAGAATATTGTGCCCAGAGCTGCAATAGCTGCTGCCTTTTTGGGCTGCCTTGATTATTCAGGCATGCCAAATAGCACCTTGAATCATCAAGCAAAGCAAATCTTGCATCCTGGGAAAGGTGTGGTATATTTCTGTGGACTCCTTAGATAAAATGTTGGTGGCCTCCAAAGGCGTAGGCCACCAGAACCTGTAACCTTAGAGTCATAGAAATGTTGGATTGGAAGGGGTCACTGCAGTCATCAAATCTAGCCTCCTAGTAAAGCCTCCCACCAGCTGTTCTGCTTTGGAACACATCTGGGGAAGGGATTTCCCACTGGGGGTGGGAAAATCTGTTGGATGGGCATGGGTGGAATATCTGTTGGAGAATGAGGAGAGGGGTGGACCCTAATAGACAGTGAAGGTACCTGGATGAGTGGATCGTGTGTAGTGGGAGCATGTGGTAAAAAAGTATAGTAAATTCAAATAAATAGCAATCCCAGCCACGTGGCCTTTAGATTGCCGAAGTCTGGTTGCCGTACATCTGGTGACAAATTAGAGATTTGGCCCATCATCGGTTGAAGGGCGCTTCCCTTTGCATGTGGTGAGGGACTCTGGTTGAGTTTGGCTCAGACAGTGAATTTTAGCAAAAGAGAGAGATCACCAGCGTGTTCTTTTCCTTTCAGCAAACTTCTGAAAACCCACTGATGCCACCATCCGAGATGCCAGGCCAGACAGCTACAAAGAATATCTTGCAGGTATTATAACGGTCTCTTCTTTTGCTCAGACTCCTGTTAAAAACATTTCTGACTACAGTGTTAGAGCATCAACAGAGCATTTTAATTATTCTAAATTCTTTTTACATGGTCTACAAGACACATAATAATCATGTAACACCTGTAAATTAATGCAGCATTTGAAGACTGATTTAATGTCTCTGACTGCATATGACTGAGTGGTGTCAGAATGGCTTTCTTCCCCACACCTCCTGCTTTCTGCTTTTGCAGATGTTAGAATTAATCCACGCTCGGCTAACAGACCCCTCGAAAGAAAGAACACAGTTAGCAAACTGTCATTCTTAGGAGTTTGAAATGTCTACAACAGACCCACACCTCAACTGAATATCCATTTGTTTTGTTGCATGTTTATTGATAGAGGTTTCCAGTGCCCTAAGCAGAGAGCTACAGTATTTGTAAGAATTGTAATTATACCGTCAGAAAAATGCTGAATGCATAACTGGAAGTTTAAAAGCGCTCTGTTCTTCCCAAGGAGATCCTGGGGCCCTCCCCTTGCAGACAGACGTCATCCAATGTCCTCAGCACCTTGATGGGGGGCTTGGAGCCTGTTCCCCCCCTCCTTGCCCAGAGAGCCTCTTCTCCGCCGCAGCCTCCCATCTCCCAGATGTTTCCCACTCGGGCCGCTTCAGCTGACTACTTGAGGCATCGGGTCCCATCTCCAGTGGGTGAGAAACGTTCCTGCTCAGGTAGTTTTTGTATTTGAAGCATGCCCAAGTCGTAGAATGGATGGGACCTTGGAATTTATCTGATCCAGCCCCTGGCCCAAACTACTGCTGCTGTAGCACCCCAGTAGGCTGCAAGTCCAGAGTAGTTGAAACATTCCGATTGGAATAAGCCAGACTCGGGTTCCGAACAATGTTTAGACCAGCGTTAAACACAAATGCAGAAGAAACCTCTTGGCTGGTCTCTCTGTGTGTGGCTTTCAGGGGAATGGCAGAGAGGGGGTGACTGGCCTTTCTGTTTGCTGGCTTTTTACCACTTTAAAGCATTAGAACTATAGTTTAAAAAGAGTTCACTTGAGCAAATGGGCAATCCTTACCAGAATGAATTGCAAAAATGTCTTATGTCTTCCTTTTCTGTTTCCTACAATCGGTAGCTCTTATTTTTCTCCTCTGAGCAGACTGGCATTCTGATCGACTCCAGTGGAAAATGCTTTTCCAAAACAAAATCACACAGAAACTGCATTTTTCACAGAACAAAAGAGCTTTGGTGAAACGACTCATTGTCTTTCTAGGTTTTGGACCAGGGGCGCAGCAGTTGCTTACCGATCCATTTCAGGGGATTCGAAAATCAGTGAGCCCAGCTGCTGCTACTGCTGCTCAGGTAAGGGAAGGAACCAGCTCCTCTCCATCTCTCTTGGCCTTAAGCTTGGAAGCACAGCGCCAAGACCATTTCGTTTGGGTTGTAGAGGGAACGCTTCCATCCAGCTGAGTAAAATGTTGTACTTTCAGTGTGAAAATTCTGCAGCTAAAATGTTCCTCCTGAATTATATACAGAACAATTTGCCCTGCCTTTCCTAATTCTGAGGTCAGAGCATTTTGCCCTGGGAGACCAGTGTTTTGGAAAATGCTGGGAGGTGTGGAATGGCAAAAGGCACACACCAATAACCGTTTTTTTCTGATTATTTAAGAGGATGGTGACAGTGGGGAAAACTACATTTAATGGGATCCAGGAAATGAGGATTATGTGAAGCAATGGGGGGGGGAGATATTTTACAGTAGACTCTGTAAACACTTGTGACATTGCAATACACTTATTTAGAGAGTGTATGTGCCATAGCTCTGAGAAGTAGCCTTTAGTTTAGTTTAACCTATATACATGGGGTCTCCTTTTAAATGGAGGTCAATCCTGCAATGCACCAGCTGAAGTTAATATAGGAGAGACGAGAGTGTGGTGTAGCATGACACATCTAGAGAGTAGCAGTAAGTGGTGTGCCTCTTGTAAAAGAATACTGCGAAGTAGCAGAAATTTGAAGGCAGTAAAGACCAGTGTCCACAGTCACAGTAGATGGAAGTAGTAAAATACTCTCTTGGTTAGGGTCTTGGCTGATTGAAGCCTTCTTGATTTCAGATGAATCATCTCGAGTTGCAGCAAGCTGCGTTACAAGGTCTCTCTCTTCCACATGACTTAGCTATGCAAGTGCCAAATTTCTACCAACCAGGTTTTGGCAAATTACAGATGGATAAAAACCGAGATGGCTTCAGGAACCGGTGAGCTTAAAATTCAGGCTGAAAGTTGGAAAGCTAAACAAATGTCACACTGCCTGCCTGCCTGCCTGCCTTCGGTTTCTCCACCGTCAAAGTCAAGTGAAGCAAGTGGAGAAATCTGCTATTCCTTGCTGGAAAACCTTTGGCCAGGATTTTATTTCCTTGCAGGCAGAGAAAGATATTCTAATGTGAATTTGCCCAGGTTCGCCTGGTGCACCAGTTGCGGCCTTATTTGGACCGGGAGGCTTTACTCACGGTCACTCATGCCCTTGTCACCTCAAGACTGGATTACTGTAACGCGCTCTACATGGGGCTACCATTGAAGAGCGTTCGGAGGCTGCAGTTGGTTCAGAATGCAGCCGCGAGGGCGATTGTGGGCGCGCCAAGGTACGCACACGTGTCACCTATCCTCCGCAAGCTGCACTGGCTTCCTGTGGGTCTCTGGACGCAATTCAAGGTGTTGGTTATCACCTTTAAAGCCCTTCATGTCTTAGGACCAGGTTACTTACAGGACTGCATACTGTCGCACAATTCCCAGAGACCGGTGAGGTCCTATAGATTGGGCCTCCTTCAGGTCCCATCGGCCAGACAATGTCGGCTGGCGGGCCCTCGGGGAAGGGCCTTTTCTGTGGTGGCTCCGACCTGGTGGAATCAACTTCCCCCCGAGGTTCGAACAACTCCCACCCTGCCGGCCTTTAAGAAAGCCGTTAAAACTCTCCTGTTCCAGCAGGCCTGGGGCTGATGTCCCCGGGGGGGGGGGATATGATCGGACACGCTGTATGACTATTATTTTATTGTATTATTGTTAGATGATTGTTTTAATTTTGTACGCCGCCCTGAGTCCTTTGGGATTGGGCGGCATATAAATAAAATTAAATAAATAAATAAATAAATAAATTTCTGTTTGATAGGCAGCCGCGCATGACTCAGTCTCCTGCCTCTCTGGGGCTCCGAGGAAACGCCTCTTCTCCTCCGACCGCTGCTGCTTCCATCACTAGCATGGTCAGTGTCACACCCGGCCCTGGGGGAGCTTTTTGTTTCCAAGTTCTGAGTGACAGATGCGAGATGAAAGGAAGGGATGTAACTTGAAAAGTTCAAACAAAGAGAAGACAGATTTACGTTAGTGTGATTTGGGGGAGGGGACTGGCAGGATTTCCCATTCTAAATCACCCTGATTATTGATGTTTTGCGCCTTAGGTTATTTTTGCATATATAACCAAAACTGGTTATTTGGGGGCAAATGTATTAAATACCAATTGTTGGTTTATGCTTTTGCAGCTATCTCCTTCCTTTACTCCTACCTCAGTAATACGCAAGATGTATGAAAGCAAAGACAAGAGCAAAGATGAGCCCCATGCAGCCAAGTTGAAATCGAGCGAGAGAGAAGAAGGTCCGGGGGCAACCGAAGGTATGTTTGTCCACATCTGTGCAAAGAGAAATGATTCCTAAGAGGCACCAAAAAGGAAGAGCACATACAAAACTCTTGGCTGCAGCTCTTCCTAACGTTAAGAAGTTTCTGGCTTTTATCTAAGAGGAGGAGGAATGCTCCTGCTAGACTTGGCCACTGTATCAAGATCCAGAGGGATTAGGGAGACTAAACAAATGCCATGTGGATTCTTGCAATCCCTCTCCAGGCTCCCAGGAATGCTTCGATATAAGCATTAAATATTGGTAAATTATTCCTGGACTTGGGAACAAGGCTATCGCTCTGGCTGCTCCTTCAACAAGACAATTGTCCACGGAATAGATCTTCTTACAGCCAGAGAACAGGCACGGAATGTAAGGGGAAAGCACAACTGCTTTTCTTCTTACTCTTTCATCCAAAGGATGAAAAGTTCCTCCAGCTGTGGGACAGTACGAAGCTGCAGTTCTAGGCAAGGAAGGGTTGCAACCCTGTGGAGTCATTGTGCTCTTGAGCTGGCTTCCGTCCTTCACGTTTTCCCTTTATCAAGAAGGTTTCTTCAAGCTGACAAAAGGCTAGATCATGCCCATTGCATGTGATGGTTGAGCTCAACTTCTTTTGTGTTCCTCTGCAGAGGGTCTTTTGCCATCCAAGTCCACAGATCATGTTGACCAAGAGAACTCGCCCTCCGTAGCTACCAAACTAACATCACTGCAGCGTTCCGCCTGTTCCACCCCGCTTTCTCAAGCCAACCGTTGCACCAAAGAGCAGGACTACAGGCCCAAATCTTCTGGGAGAAAAACTCCTACAATGGCTTCTCCAGTTCCAGGGAATACTTTCCTCCGTCCAATCCACCAGGTTCCTCTGGTTCCTCATGTTCCAATGGTACGACCTCCTCATCAGTTGCCCCCAGGATTAGTCCAAAGGATGCTGGCACAAGGCATTCATCCACAGCACCTCCCTCCTCTGCTGCACGCAGGTGAGCTTCAGTTTCACTCCTGGCTGAAGGGGCCTGGTTGACCAGTCAGCCCTTCATTTAGGCCCAACATTTGCTATGTGGGCTGTTCAGGCATTGGTGAAAGACTGAAAGATTAGCATTCACGAATGGACACACACACGCACACCCTCACACCCACAGCCACAGTCTTTTGATCTAACTGCAAGTCAGGAGTTTGTTTTCTCACAAGAGCAGTTATCGCATTTAGCCTTACACGTATCTGGAAATTGTGTGAGTCGTATAAAAGTTGAATAGCTGCATCTGGTAGGAAGCCCCATGTTTTCTATTGTTATCTACTAGAGCGGCATGCTTTCTGATAGGAATGTAATACTGCAAGCATACGACGCTGATTTTCATAACCATCAGGGAGTAGTTAAGGGTCCTGAGTTTACCTTGTGATGCAGCCGCTGTGGATGATTCATGTTCAACTATTTCTGAAATGGCCACCAGTTAAGAATGTTGCCATTCTCAGCTCAGAAACGCTTGTTCTAAAGTGCTGCTGCCTTTCATCCTTGAATGGTGGGGGGGGGAGGGCCCCCGAGAGGTTCCAGTGTGAAAGTGCTGTGTTGTGTGGAGGTTCCTTGCTTAAAAATGGTCTGATCCCGTTCAACAGGTATGATTCCTCCTGGGGTTGACCTCGCTCACCTCCAAGGAGTATCTGCTCCCCTCCTTGGTCAACCATGCTACCTGCTAACCCCAGCTGGCCACCCTCTCTTGAATCCTCGCTCAGCGACCCCTTTGCAGCTGGCAGTGATGCAGCAGCAGTTACAGCGCTCAGGTAACGGGTCTCCCTTTGAGGAGTCCTAAACGTTCTTTTTGCCAAGGCCCATCGTGCACCACCATCATCCCAGATCTACAACACAAGGTGGTTGGTCTCTCTCTCTCTCTCTTTCAGGTGCTGGCACACAAGGATCTGCTGTTGGCGTGCAAACAACTCCTCCCCCTGTGTCCTCTCGGACCGGACTGCCTCATATGCACTCGCAGCTTGACCACCGTGCCGCTGCCCAACGAAGTAGCTCTCCTGTCGGCCTGGCAAAGTGGTTCGGTTCCGACGTCTTACAACAGCCCCTCCCGTCCATGCCTTCCAAAGTGATCAGCGTGGATGAGCTGGAATACCGACAGTGAGGACCCTTGTTGAGAGCAGGGATCTGCGCTGATTTTGACCAGGCCCGTGTCTCCTCGGGCAGCTGCCTCTCACGTGCTTCACTCCCATTTCTTTTGGGCTGCTTTGGTTTCAGCACTTTGTGCAGAGTTGTTTTTGGAGTGACTAAAAGCACATGGCGCCTGTGTCCTCATCAAGATGGAAAGAATTCATTCTAGATTGAATAGTGAACCCTGAAAAAACTTGGATGTGAGACAGTACCAGAAGAATTCTGGAAGCATCTACCTTTTTTGTTTGGCTTTTTTTTTTTTTTTTTTTTTTTATAAAAATGTAGGAATGAAGTGCTGGTGACCTCTTGGGACAGAGGTATCGGCCTTAAGGGTTCACCACTGGAAATTCTATGTACAGACCAATGTATGAACATCTTTTTTTTTGTATCTATCCACGGGAGAGCTTTTTTGAACTTATACAGCTGTACATAAGAGTAGCTAGTAAAAAGTTAAGCTTTAGTTTGTGTGCCTCTGGTTTGGATCTATTCACTGTACATGTGGGACGTGCATTAAAGGTGCCGCAGAAGTCAATTGTGCGTGAGCCAGATTGACATTGCTTTGCCTCTTGTGTACTCCAGTCTTACTCCTCTGCATTCTGTTCTAGGCAAGTCACAAAAGTGGGAAAAGGCCACTAGGTACATGCTGTATATTTTTGCAGTCCAGAGGAAAGGAAGTTGCTGGGTTGGGATCTTAAGCGCCTGAAAAGTGGGCTGCAAGATGCTGGCCTTCATAATTGCACACAGATTTAGGTACCATAGACCTTGCACCTGTCAACTCTGCTGCAGTAGTGCATCTTCAGTGTTGCTGTCCACTAAAAAGTCAGACATAGCTGCTCTTGAGGGTCTACAACTGCTAGCAGTTATAGTAATTTGTTCTCCCCTGCTGTGAGTAACAGTCTTAAATTGGACATCTTCAGTCCAAATCAAGTCCTGAATTGTTTCACTTGGTGGCATGCTGTGTTGGCATTGATGACCCAGAACAGTTTGGATAAATGACCTGTAAATTGTGCCATGACATCTATGTGGGCCATCAATGACTGAACACTTGAAGATTTTGTAACATGAACTTAGTGCAAGTGTCACGGTGTTGTCCCTGTAAGATTGTTACATAACTTTTTTTAAAATGAAATTTTCCCCAGAATTCTTTCTGTAAATAAAGTCAATTCTATGAGCTTTCTGATTCACTGTGTAAAGGGATACTCTTTGCAGGGGCATATTTACTAAATTTGACTTCAGCAAAAAAAAAAAAAAAAAAAAATCTTTCCCATGAGAAATTCCAAGATTCATTGTGAAATATCCATCTTTTATCAGGAAAACTCAAAACTCTTGAGGATTTGAGAACTGTGCAATAGGTTTAGAGAAAAAAAACTGTTTGAAAACGTGTAAAAAAAAATATGTATCTGATGGTGCCTCTCTAAGCAGTAATGATGGTTTGGAAGTACCGGTATGTTAGTTGCTGCTTTTGGGAATTGCTTCAGTTCATTGATAGATTGAGGTTGTCTTGCTGATACTGAATCAAAAGCTTTATGATTTTTTCCCCCTCAAGACAGCAAATGTTGACAGTTTTAAGAAAACACTCAAGAGCTTCTGATATCAGAATCAAATTTAAGCTGAGGAACATAGTTTGAGCAGGAAGGTTTCCCCGGACTTTAAAGCAGGGACTTGGAGGAATGGATGCGGCGTTAGGTCTTGGTTCTTTGGCCTTGCAATGTGGCTTTGCGGTCTCACCGCCACCACTTCTTAGGAAGCACATCCCAACTTGGAGGGGGCTGAAGAATTGGAAGGAATGGCTACCTGAAGAAATACAGAGCTAGGTGTAGTTTAAGATAGGTTGAAATTTGCAACAGATTGGTTTTTAACTATTTCCTTGCACTCTTAACCCTACAGATATTATTTATGTCTGGCTGTGTTCTCATTCCTGGAAGATTAGTTTCAAATTAATTCCTAATAACTCCTTGATTAGAGTAGGGAGGATAACCTTGACAGAGATGGGCCAGATCCGTTACCAAAGCAACAAAGAGAAAAGCATACTAGCAGAAGGAATGTGAAAATGGCTCATGAATATTGGTGTTGGGGGAAGGGGTGTTAGAATAGCTCTAGCATTCCTGTAGAGTTGGTTTATATAAGTGGGGCTGGCTTTTTTCCTTTCTTGGGAAGCTGGAAGAGTAGGGATTGCATTGGAAGAGTTTAAAGAACCAGCCCATTAAATGCCTTGCATGCGCGCACTCAGTTATTCCATCAGTCTGAACAAAGCACTTAACTAGCCCATTTCTTCCCTCCCACCATACCAACCAATCCACTGTGGGATGGGCTGAGGCCAGAAGTCTTGAAGGATGCCCTTCCTTAAGAAGCTCTCCCTGTGCCTAATAACTGTTTCCTAGTCTCCAATTTTGTCTTTCAGGAGAAGGCTGTAGGGAGGGCAATTGAATGGCAGCAAAGAAAAAGTGGATTACCTGGACCCAGAGATGGGATGGAAAGATCAATCTGGCTAATATCCATCGGAGGACATTACACATCTTCTGGTCCTACTGTAGCTCTTCCCAGTCCTTGATACTGACCACTGCGGTATCATTTGGACCACGTATGAAGGTTTGGGATTGCAAGCAATATTTGCTCCTTAGCATCTCATCCCAATTGGTGGGTGTAGGGAGGGAGAGGAGCCAGCTGGTCGGTCACTCCGTTGTGGAATTCTGTAGGATTCAGGATTCTCCCCACTAGCTACTCAATGCTTACCTAAGGCTGCTGGGAGTTGTTAGTTCACATTGTCAAGATACTGGGTATCATCACCCCACCCTAGTTTGGAGTTGTTGCCAAGGCAAGTGGAAGCTGTTGGCTTGGATGGGATGACCCTGGCAAAATGGCATTTAAAGAGTTCTCCATCAGCTATACGGTTGGCTCTCAAGGGTCCTCCTGGATTCAGGCTATGCAGAGAGAGAGAGAGAGAGAGTGTGTGTGTGTAGCAGCTGCAGGCCTACAGAGAGCAAGATGTCCTTGCAATAGCCTCCTTACCATCCAGCGTGAGGGGCTCCATGTAAGGCTGCCACTGCCACATGCTCAGAAATCACCATTAGTGCAAAATGCAGCAATGGAGATCATACAGTGCTGCAAGTGGCTTTTACAAGTTTTGTGAAATTTCCAACAGCAAATCAGTGTAAAAACTGCACAACCCAATGCCTGAATACTCGCAAGGTGGTCTTCTCCAGCTAGAATTACCTATCTAAGATAAACTTCTGAAAAGAAACTGCTTGTGATTTCCAAATGCACGAAGTCCAGAGTGGAATGGCAGGCTGAGGTCAGAGAGGCTAATTTTCAATTATAGTCCCCATTTTAAGAAGCAGCCTCCCTTCCTGAAATTAGGACAAACTTTCTTTTTTAGCCGTCTTAAAGGTTTTTGCAATTCTATTCAAAAGATTATAAAAATGTGTTTAACCTGTAGTTTTAAAATAGATCTAAGATGTTTAGGCTTTTAAGCGTATTTCTCAGGTATCAATTTTCCGAGAACTGAATATTTAGATCAAGACTGATCATCTATTTTCTTGGTTTTGTTTCAATTTCTCACCTTAATTTCATTTGCCTCAGTGACTGGGAGGTCTTGAAAGTATCAATCAATGCAACACTAATGTCAGAATCCAATTATATTTAATTTCTAGTTATCGACTATGGGAAACCCCATTTCTGCCCTCTCTGGATTCTGTCATACTACAAAGGGGTAGGGGGATGAGCAAAGGGGTTTTATGGCTCTCACTTCCTTTATTAAAACTTCAAAGGGACTGAATGTGGATCTCACCAAAAAGACTGACCATAACAATATGGCCCATCAGCTTTCATCTACTACTCTCTGAAGTCTCCCTTCTGCCGGTCGAAAGGAAAAGGGGGTGGAAATGTGATGCCTGGGATTGTCGCTGGAAGGACGGTGGGGTGGGGGCTGCTTGGAGCACTTCAAACCTTGAATGGTAGGGGTTGGGCCTCAGGTCCTGTCTAGAACGCCTGCAACCATCTTCTCTTAATAAAGATGCCTGTTGGAAGAAATATTCCAAGAGTTCTGTCTTCTTAAGATGCAAAGTGGGGTGGGTCCTTACATTAGACAGGACCTGCAGAAATAGTCCACCTGGAAGGGAGAACCTTGCGGGGAGACATTGCAAAAATTACCTTGTCAGACGAAGGAAAAGGGAAGGGAGAAAACTCCCCGGAAAGGGAGCCGCTGCCCCGACTGTAACCCTGCCAGATGTCAGGATCTGAGAGGTCAGGTTCCTCAGGAGAAATGGTGGAGACACAGGACCACAAACCTCAGTGGTCAATGGGCATTGGAAAGAAAGGCGAGTGGGAAAAGAAATCAAGAAAGGTGACCCTGAGATGGGGGGCCAACCAACCAGAATGGAAGCAGGAGATGGAGTTATCCCTGCACGCAAGTGAAGAGGAAGGGAGCTGGGCACCGTACTCGGACTGGATCCTAGAGAAAGTTATTGACCTGATGAAGAGAACCCTCAGCTCCCTAGGAGAGGAGAATACTGAGCCCTACGGCTGCCCCAGCTCCTGGAGCCGCAAAGGGAGAGACACCGAGGGGGAAGTGGAACCTGCAGCCTCGGGGACGTCTGCTGATCCAGTAGTCCCCACTCCCCGCCCACCCGCAGATGGCGATCTGGACAGAAGACACTACCACCGATAATGAAGGCACCAATCCATTCAAAGACTCCCGCCACTGGACGTGAGATTCAAGGGGGAGCCAACACGCTTGGGGTTTTTCCTAACCCAAGTCCTCAGCTACATGGAGGAATATGGGCGGGACATCCCCAGCGACAAAGCCCGTATCCGGATCATGCAATCTGCCCTGGACAGGCCGGCCACAGATTGGGTGGTGAACTTGCACGACTCCAATGCCCCAGAACTCAACAATTTCAACTTCTCTGAGAAGGCGATTTGAGGACCCCCTGGCTGATCGCAAAGCCCATGAAAGGATAAAAACGATGAGGCAAGGGAAACACCTGATAGCCAAATATACGCAAGAATTCCGGGCCATTGCCAGCAAACTGAACTGGCCGAAAGACATCCTCCTTAGCTATTTCAAAGACGGGCTAAACTACGACCTATATGACGCTTGCCTGCCCCGAGGGGACCCACACCAACTTGATGAATGGTACATCCTGGCAGAGGAAGCAGAGATCGACATACTGAAGAGGCACCGGCAAGGAAAACAGTGGAGCCGCTCACCGCCTGAGTTGACATGTGAACCAGTGAAACCACCGGCTACAGCCAAGAAGCAAATGGGGTGTTTCAAGTGCGGAAGAGAGGGGCATCGGACTGTAGAATGCCACTCAAAAGCCCCCCAGCACAATCCAAACAGATCACCGGCCAGCAAATCCGGGAAGTCTCCAGCTAAGCCAAAAGAACCTGCCATGAGAATGATGGAGGCTGTGGAATCCCCCACCTCTGCTCATCAGGGGAAAGAAGGGCTGGTGGATGCCTCAGACGACAGCTCGGAGGGCGAACCCCTGGTAAGTGGACCCATCGCACCCATCCTCAAGACAGTGACTATATTAATTCCCCCCATGCCTGAAGCCGTGAAGGTGAAAGCCTTAATAGACTCTGGCTGCACCCACTGCCTCATTAGCCCAACGCTAGTGGGGAATCTGGGCATTCCGTCGAGGAGACTGGAACAACCAATCTCATTTGGCCAGTTAGATGGATCCATAGCAGGGGGGGTACCAGCTACCCTAGCCACTTTACCAATACAACTCTCCCTGGGCAAACATGAGGAAGACAATGTTTGTAGTGACCCCAGGCATGGAATGCCCAATGATCCTAGGGATAGAATGGCAAAAAAAAATGGAACCCCTGGGTGAATTGGAGGACGACAGAAATCAAATTCCCGAAGGGGGACCCTATGGACTTAAAATCCCAAGGGGAGCTACCAGAATCAAGAATAGAAAAAGCATCCATGGGAGAGGAAAAGGGACTAACAGAAATACCAGAGGAATATAGAGACCTTGCTGAAGTTTTCAGTGAGGAGAGGGAGGATGAGCTCCCCCCCCACCGACCCATGGACTGTGCCATTGAATTCAAGTCTGGGGCAAAACTCCCGAAGCCCAGATTATACTCCATGAGCCCAAAGGAGGAGGAAATGGGAAGATTCATAAAGAAAAACCTAGAAAGGGGGTTCATTGAGCCAGCCAAGTCTAAAGT